CTACCCTCAGTGTTTTCCTAGTCTGGGCTTTGCAAATGCTCAGGTGGAAATAAAGAGAAACTTCAAGCACAGTGTGAGTCTTTAGCCGTCCTTTACACGACTCCTAGTCCCACAGAACGTCTGTAACATCTACTGACTAGAGTTCTCCCATTGTCCTTTCTGCAGATCTTCTAAACATAAAGTGGTTCTGGAAAAGCCCACAAACTACTAGAATTTAAAACTTAAGAGAGTACAAGGTATGTGTAAGGTTACACAAATAAGCAGGCTGATAAACTGAATGCTGGTGTCCTTTACAGTTGCCTAAGAATGTGTTCATGACATTAATTTAGTAGTCAGACTACTGACAAGTTCTTACTTACAGATGCAGCAATACCCTCAATAAATAGTTATTAAAACTGCAGAGTCCCAGTCCCCCTTTTGCCATATTAAAACTTCTCCAGGCAGCCACCTACAGAAGAAGAAGAAAGCACCCTCCCTAACAGACCGGCGTAGCTTTAGTTTAAGGGCACCTAATTCCACCTTCCTCGTGTCCTACGGTGTTACTGAAGCAGAGGTGGTACTGCGCTGCAATAACAAACTCCAAGACAGGTTTCCGAAGATCATTTTACAAATGCAAAAATAGGCACTCTCCCGAAATTAAACCCTGACCCCAGCACGCCATTTTACTCAACATTTTCTAGCTGTTACTTCTATCTCCTCCCTTCAAATTTCCTGTACCCTGTAACAGTACACCTTATCTAAAATCCACTCCAGTCCCATAAGGGTCTCGCAGGAGCTTCTGGAGGCTCAGCAGGTTTATAGTTCAGGTGTTACATGCTCAGGTTAACATGAGATGTGTGGGGCCTTATTTTAGATTCCAGATTGTTTCAGCCTTGGCCAGTTGCTCTGTTTTCTGGCATGGATGCTTTGACCTTGCTGCTAAACCCATCGGTGCCTGTCCTGCTGCCAGTTACTAGAGCGTGGACTCCAGATGGAGGCACTTGGGTCTTACGGTGCTAACAGCAAATTGATGGAGGAAGAACTTCTGAAGGCAGGTCGCCTGACGGTTTTTTTGGGATGGGTGCAATGAAGTGGGTGCTTTTGTTATCTAAACCAAAAGTATCTGATTTTCTAATTTTCCTCAACTGGTCAATTATTGCAGATTGCAGATGACAAACCTTGAATAACACAGAAGTTTCTTAAGGATAATTACTAAAGTTCTTCGGGCAAGTACAGCCTAACACCACAATGAGCCCAGAGAGAATACATTTCAGTAGTTAACATTTTGGTATTGGATGCACTCTGAAAGCCTTTATCTGTACTATGGTGATATCATAGGGTCACAATGTTGGAACCAATGTAATTGAAAAAAATCTCTTTGCTTCCTTTGTTTAATGACAAGAAGGCCCGCCCCACGAAATTGTTGGTACAAGTAAGATGTACTCAATCACATCGCTACAGCTCATGTTTACACTATTTTGATCAGGATTTTGAACGAGTATTTTGAGTTTGTTCCTTGATGTTGTCATCAAAATACTTACCAGCCTTACTGTTGTTAAGACGTTGCTGCTCAGTTGCAATACTTCAACAACTTTTGTCTCAGGCTCTGATGTTTATAGCATCATTTTCAGTGGGGTTTGTTTGATCAAGCGCCTATTAGTAGTTTTTAGAAATCTTAGCAACTACGTAAATTCTGTTTTCATGCTGATGAAAGGCTGGATTTCTTTTTCATTTATATGGACCAATTCTTATAGAAGTTCTCTTATCTTCCTGCTGGTTATATGCTGGATGCTACTTAAACAGGCCATTTAAATCCTGTCATGAAAAATGGAAGTGTTTTCAAGAAAAGCTGGTACACAGAAGTTAGGGGTTATGTTTATTAAAGTGTGAATTGTTTTTGAAGGCACTTGTGAATGTATCACTTAGGGTGGTGGGCCTGTATTTCCTTCAAAGGGCAGCATCTAGATCCTCAAATACAAGGGGAGTATAAACAAGGGAAAAGGAAACCACAGATCAGTGTGACCAGAGTTTCCTTCTCTGGAGATATTCAAGGCCTGCCTGGACAATGTCCTGTGCAACTTGCTCTAGGTGAACCTGCTTTAGTAGGAGGGTTGGACTGGGTCATCTCCCGAGGTCCCTTCCAACCCTTGCCATTCTGGGATTCTGTGATCCGTTCTATGATCCAACCCATTTCATGGTGAAAGTCTTCCAGTGATAACGCTTTTCACATCCCCAGGTCTTCTTTAACATGTGTCTCAAATCCTCAGAATGCCCCTCACTCGGGAAATAAGCAAACACCTTCAGTAGTAAATCTGGCCAGCACAATACACAAGTATTTAAAAATGGAGAGATTCCAGGTTCCCCAGCCAGGACTTGAACCTGTGACCTGCTGGCCCAGAGGTGTGAAAGCACTCTCTCGAGCCAATGATATCACTTTAAATGCTACAAGCTGAAGACATGTCAAATGAATCATTTATTCAGTTCAGTCAGCTTTAAATTTTTCTTGGTAAATGTTCCTGAAAACAGAGAACGGCTTCCAGGTTTCTCTGTGTGTGTGTGCACATGTGTGTGAAGACACATGAGCATATACCACCTCCAGTAAGAACTGTAAGCTTCTATGGTTTGTTCTGACATAATAAAGATTGAATATGCTTTTATTTTCTTAACCGTCTATGTTCCAATCTATAATAATGATTTAAAGTATTTGGGATCAAAGTATGCCTCAGAGTTTCATTTAAAGCAGATACTTTTCAATGCATATTCAACTTCACATAAAAATTATGTCTGGAAGGAAGAAAGCTGTTATGATCCAACATAATGCTCTTCAGCTTTGACTGAGGGTTATCCAAGTGACATGTAGCAGCATGTTATCCATCAGGAACCTTGATGTAATTTTTAAAAAGAATTTCTCAGGTTTCTTCATAGAGCTAGTTGGGATCTGCACCCCACTGTTGTCACAGGATTGCTGTTCCAGAATCCTGTGGTCCTAATGATCAAAATCCATCTGATTTCAAGCCGAAATATGTTCAGGCTAAAGTTGTTCCATTTTTTTCCTCACATCAGCACTGTTACTTAATTTAAAAGCTTGTGGGAATCCTTCGTGGTCATGCTGTAGTGGAGAGTTCTTACATTTGCATCCTTTGTTTTGCATCTAGGTTTGGCTTCTGTCATCTTCCCTCGTAAGACAGGTTTCTCTGTGCCCTGACCATCTTGGTAGTCCTTCTCTGGTTTTTTTTCAGATTTATCCTGCTTTAAATGTAGCTAGCTAGAAATCTTCGGAACCAAGTCTCGTACCTACCTGAAACTCTCTACCAGGAACAGCTTTCCTTCCTTCTCTCAGGATTGCATGCTCACATGACACAGGTCGGTCACTGTCGCCATGTGATGAACTTTGTACAGAGAAAAACTCCTTTACTCTACTCTATCTTTCCACCTGAGCAGCTCCAGGTCACGCCAACAAGTCTTGCTATTAGCTATCGCCCTGCATTTTTTTTTGCTGTTACATTTCATTGCATTGCAACTGTTATCCTAGCAGGTATTCAATGCCTGGGAACGTCCTCCTATAAGATTTGTTCTGACAAAGACATTTCAGAGATTTCCATATCTTATCAATCAAGCTGCTGTCATGCCCTGTTTTCCTTCTTCAGTCTCTTTTCTGGGGCGAGCATCAGCCTGCAGTTACTCCAGCCAACATCATCAAAAGCAGGCACTTTTTTCAGTGGCTGCACTTCCCAAGCAAACTCAAACAAGTATAGATATGTAAGAACAGGTTCAGGGACCTCACAAGTAAATTATAAAAACATAAACCCCAAGCAGACACAAACAACCACACTAATGCTTCGCTGAGCTTCTCTATGTAGTTTTAACTCCAGGGTTCTTGCTACAAGTAAAACACGTACTGCGTTAGCCACGATGTTATGGTTAGAGTCACACAAGCCCAAGTAAAAATCCAGGTATGATCAGAATAAAATGCTTTACCTGTGTAGCATGGTATTCCTACATGGCAAACCATATTACTGAAAGACACGTTTGTAGTAAGAAAGCTGCATCCAAACTAGGCCTCGGAACAGTTTATACGGGGGAAGAAGTTAGTATGGTGCTAGACCGTGTATACCAGGGCTGATGTATCTCGGGCACAACACGGCATATACCTCCGCTGCTTCCACTGAGCTCTTCTCCAGGCCCTAGTCCCCAGAAATAAGGCTGTGTGCCAATCACGGCATTTCTCTCTCTATCCCTTTGGTTTTTGTAGTCACCACAAGAAGCAGCTTCTACCTGAAATAGCTTGGAATAATGTCTAATTTCTACACGTGTAAACAAAATATAATCTTTCAAAAATAGGACTCTTCAGTCAGCTTTCTGTAACATTGTTAGATTCCCTGGAAATTCTTCAGTCCTTACGGGTACTCCATTTCTCTTACCTATCTTAAATTGTTCATCTATACATTTCGTAACATCTGAGCGTATAGCCATATGGTAGTAACTCATTCTTTGATAGGTTTAGTGAGTCTACACCATGACTTACCAGATCCTTATCAAGCAAACACATCTAATTGCAGCCGGGCTGGCAGGATATCACACTGAAAAGTGCATCTGAATGTATAATATCAGCAGCAAAAATCCAAGCCAGCTATGTAGCCTGTTGAGTATCATGTGTGTGTATGGACATGAACTGCATCTGTATTTTCATAAATGTTTTTCATTTTGTCAGTCACGTTAAGGAACTCTGCTACCCTTAAAACACCCTCCTGTTTCCACCAAGGTTCTAAATTGCCAATCACTGATAGTTCCACCTGAAGGAAACGGGTCCTGTAAGTGTCAAAAAAGAAAAGCAGCTACATTTTCAAAACCTAGACTGCAATGATTTCCCCTTAATTAATGAGAAAAATTTCCACTAGTTCTCGAAGGGTTAGGTTAGTTTGTTCTTTCTTATGTTAGTAGCCCTAGTATAAATACAAGGGATTAAAATGATTTAAGTATTTCAGATTTCATTCCAAGAACTGATATGTACGTTTCCTTACCTGACTCTTTCATAGGACACAGCGCACACTGCATGCCCCAGGCTTCACCGTACAGGCAACAGCACTCGGTATATGTAGTCTGCTTTCCAACCAGAGGTCGACTACAAACAAAATCATCACTTAGATGCTGCCAGCAAAGATCCTGGTAGACCTCAGTTTCTTCAGTTTGCTCTGATGGAGAAGACAGTATTAGATCATCATCGCAGCACTGTTATTTAAAAAAGATACTCGCACAATGCAGAATTTTCTAAACGTGGATTAGAAAAATAATCAAGCTTTACAGACTTCGCTGAATATGAATTCAAGCTTAGAAGTCACGACCGTTTTTAAGTGCGCGAGGTGGCTCACCCCTTGAGCGTTTAGCTTTGCAAAGATCTTAAAAGGTTCTGATCTGGCAATATAAGTCTGATTTAAAAGCAAATTGGGTGGGACACCCAAGAAATAAAACTTTCTACATCAGCAGTCATTGCTAAGTGCTTAACACTGACGCTGCTCTGCTCTCACGGAAGTTGGCAGAGCTTGACAAAAACCAGTGTTTGTCCTAACAAACACTGAGGTGAATATTTGGGGAACTCCATCCACGGAATGAATCTGTAAAATATGTTACTTTGCTTATATTGCTGTCAGTGGCATCGGAAAGAACTTTTACAGCTAGAGCAGAGCTGAACAAAAATTCTACATGGGCTCAACAGGAGACTGGACAAATACTTGGAAGAGAGTCCCATTAACTAAACAGACAAACTTCATCAGGCTCAGGAAATCCCCTGAGCTGAAAATAGCTGGAGGCTGGGAGAGAGCTGGGGAGGGTGAGGAGAAGTATTGTTTATCTGCTCTTCTGGTCCCTAATCATCCACTTACAGCTATTGTTAGAGAGAGAATACTGCTGTGAACTACCATCACATTCTTATGAACATGAACAAAAACATGTATTTTTGTCAAAGCTGGAATATTTCAGAGGCATACTGGTTCTGACAAAGATCTCAGTAGGAACAATTCCTAGTCCTAGCAATCTGATCACTGCTGATCGGAGGGAGAGGAACTGCAAACTTAATCTTCCACTTGGAATGTAAAAACCTCAGCACAATTGTTTTGTAAGACATCTGCAAGGTTTTGATTCTGTTCCAACATGGAGTGAAAAATGAGTGTTGTCACAAACCAAGGTTCTGTTTTGTCTGTGCGTATCTATTAACTGAATTTTTACATGATGCACTGGTGCATGGGTGAGTATAGAATTGAAACCTAGCTCGAGAGTAAAATGGTGAGCTCTGAAAGTGCAAAGGTGATCACAATTAAGATACCTATTCTACTAAGAACTTGCCAGAACATGCAGTGAAGAGCAGCAGTGGGTCTCTGCAACCAACTCCACATTCTGCTGGCAGCAAAGGAACCAGCCTGCGCCCTCCTGCTCTGCGTTAGGGAGGACATTGCCAGCAGCGATACAAGGCTTGAGCGCTTTGTGCTGGGCGAGGAGATCATTGCTGTATCAGCCCCAACGTCGCGTGACGGAAGACCCTTTGGGCCCTTGTATTCTCTTCACATCCTAGATGAACCCAAAGGGCAATCCTGCTCTTGATTTGTTTAACTGCAGATTGAGCAATAGAAGTGCTGTGGTTCTTTCACAGTTTCAGGCAAGAGGATGACCACATTACTCCTCAAAAGTCTCAGTCTTACAATTTGGAGTGACTAAAGCAGGCATTCAGTCTGTATTCTCATTTCCTTTCAAAGAAGCATCTAAGGAAAATTCATTGCAAGTTGCGGGGACCAGAGGTCTGGATTTATGGCTATACAGTGCCAATATTAATCAAACCCATTGTAACATTTCTTTCAAAGATGTGTGTGGCATAGACAAAGCTGTGCGGACTGCATAATGCTCTGGATTTCTGAGACATTTCTAAGAATCTCATAATATGTAACATTTTTTCTGAAATCAGTGTCTACTGAAATTAAAAGAACATACGAAAACCTTACTCCAAGAGTGACGCTGCAGCCCACAGTTTGAAAATGTGAGCTCGATGTACCCTCAGTATTAATCAATTGAAAGCACAGGTACAGTTTCAGCTATTTCCTCCTATATCCTGTCATTCCTGGTTTTATTCCTTGCTTTGTTAGAAGCAGGTGGTCACTCCGAACTGAATCTCCAGAGTTAGCCCACAGCCAAACCCCAGCCTTAGTGAGACAGCAAGCAGGCTGTGCCTCGTTACCTATGAGGCTGGACGAGGCAGACGCAGAGCTGGTGAATCAGGGGGCTGAAGACTCCCCAGCCCAAGCCTAATCTCATTAATACTTCCAGCCATCTCCTGTCTGCATTGGCAAAGTGGAGCCCTGTGGAGTCCTACATCACGATGCCTTCTGGATCAACAGATGATGGTCCAAGCATTGCCTTCCAAAATCCTCCAAAAGAGCAGGCTCATCCAAGCATGACCCAGTCTAAGTTTACTGGGGTCTGCAGCCATGTCAGCACCACCTCGTGGAGGTGTACTCACTTCAGTAATATGTATAATGGATCATACCACTTGAATCTGCGGGTCTGATGCATCGCTTTTCTGTTGCGTCCAGAACCATTGGGTGTGTACAGAAACAGTTGTAAGATCCTTCTGTGTTAATGCACTGGCCATCAATACAGCTGTTTGGGTCCTGACATTCATCCGTGTCTTTAAAATGGAAGGAAATGTATCAAGGAGAGCCACCACAAAGCAGTCGCATTGTGTTAATCCATGTTTATATTTTCCTGTATTAGGAGCAGATTTCCCTGCACGCCTTCTGTTAATTACCACAAATACCAATTGCTGGCAGCAAAATCCCGCCTGCGCCCATGGAGGAGGACAGCCAGATCAGCAGGGTGCAGACCTCTAAACCTCAAGTACTAGGGAGCATCTGGATGAGGAGACTTGCTGGGGGGGTTGGAGTGCCGGGCGTGCCCTGCGTCCAGCACGGCTGCAGCCACTTCCCACATTCCTACCCCTTTAGGACAGTACCAGCAGGCATTAGAGGTGGGCATGCTCTCTGAGAGTCTTCATGAGCTGGTCAGGAGAAGGGGTCACCTTAACTAGCCACAGCAGTTCTATTCCTTAGTTTGTCTTGGAGAGGAAAAGCAGAAATTTAACTCAAAGGGAAGAGTGGGCCATTTTACTTCAAATAAATTACATTAAATCAGCAAAGAACCCACCCTTTGTTAAGAACAACCACAGAATCCCAAGGTGAAAGGCTCTCTTATTGTGGTTGCAAAAATTATTTCCTTTCATTAAGCTATTCTGTACATTAAACATGGTTTTCTGCTTACAAAGCAAAAGCCAGGGTCACAGTTATGAGTAATTTTCAGTTGAATACCAGAACCAAAGGAGTACAAGGTTGTGCAGACTTAAATGAGCTTATCAATGACCTGAACTGTAATTTCACACTGTGTATTAACTCCTGTGGAAAATATCTCTCCTTGGGAAAAAAAAATCTGTGTTAATTTGATTTATCGTAGTAAAGCCAGCGCACTTACCAAATGAAAGGTGAGCTTCAACACACAGGTTTCACTGTTCACCCCACGTACAAAGAAGAGAAGGCTATATTGCACCCTGGCAGAGTGAAGTAGCAGTGCACGTGTAAGGAGGGAGCCACCTCTGATCGCTTTGTGCTGCCTGCACAAAGGCTGGTACCAGCTCTAGATTATGCACTCAAAGGAGCACAAGGGGCTGTTTGGGAGATGCAAACTCCTGGGAGCAATTTGCCGAGAAAGGAAGCAAATAAAACAAACCCTGCTCTACATGCCATCGCCATGTCAGCCAGAATTGCTGCCCAGCTGAGCAGAAGGGAAGGGAAATGACCCAGTGCCTCTTAAAAAGCTGCTACAGGAGTTCGGAGGCCCAGTGTTCCTCCCCTTGCTGGGAATACCGCTGTTCTGATGGGAATCCTGCCGTACGAGTCTGCTTGTTTTGCCCATCTGCATACCATTATAGTGACAAGACCACTTTAAATAAACTTACCAAAGCACTGGAGCTTAACAGGGTCATAGTATGTGCCTTGTTTGCAGTAGCACTCATAACCTGGCTGCGTATTCAAACAGAAGCCATTTTTACAGATTTCTTGTCCAAAGAGTTGGCATTCATCAGCATCTGGGGAGAAAACATTAAAGGCTCTGTTACCATAATTATTATGAGGCCACGCAGAGGAACAAGACGGAGTAAAGCCTATACACTTCTCTGTTCAAGAAAACTTCACTCTGAACAGAGGGCCCCAGCAGCACAGATACCCGCAGGAAAAAACAACTGGTGTGGAGGAGGCTGCGATGTGCTTATAGCCAGAATGGGAAAGGGAAAACTGCTGGAGTATGGCTTTCCCTTTCCCTTGTCAGAGTAAGTGCTGTGGCGTACAAAGACTGGAAGAATCTGCAGCTCCCTTTTCTTTCCTTTGGTGCCCCACTGCTCAGCTCCAAGCAAAAGAGATGAAGAATATGGCCTCTATTTTCCAATATAATTTGCTTTACCCAAGGGATTCCCACCATGGATCTAATCTAATCACACTGTCCAATTACAAAAGTAACTAAGCAGTTACGTGTATGGATGGACTTTGTGACTGCTCTCCTCTCCGCACACAGCTTGGTGACTCTGCTGTGCATGGTAGGGCATCTTCATATCCGCACTGCTTTTGTGACTTTGTGTTTCAAAGCTAGATGCACAACTTCTGTGGAGACTTCCCACCATGTAGAAACAATTGTGTCTCGTGCTAAATAAAGGCTGCAGCTACTGTAGGCCTAGTGACAGCTGACAAGGAGAATCTACCACACTGTCAGATGAGGCTAAATGTGTTCAGGGAGGTTTCATGGAAAATATACGCCAGCTCCTATATAGCTTTTCACAGTTGTACACATTTTTTCCCAGTCTTGTATTTATGTATTTGTTACTATTGGAATTCCATTAACTTCCTTTTTTCCAACTCGCTTTTCATTTGCTACACCTACCTAGAACAGTCTGTTAAAGCTAGGCTGGTATTAAAAATTGTCTTAACCCATTTTCTTTTATAGATTTCTTCCACATTTAGTCTGGGGCAATGCAGATTCTAGCCCAAAGCTGTCATTTCCAGCTGTACAGCAGTTTTAAAGGTGAATTATTCAAATGCTTACTTTTTCCAGAAGAACTGGAAGTGCTATAAAGCTATTTATTTTTACAGCCACTAAGTGGCTTCAAACATCAAATATTTTGAGTGTTTAGCAGCACAAACAATGCAAAGATTAATGAGAAATGTCATGTACATGTCTGTCTTTTTTTCTGTGGAACATGGATTTGTGCCTGGGGAAAAATGGGAAAGCCTGAGAGTAGAGTCAAGGAAGGTTAGCTGAGTATATTCACTTCTGACAGATAATGCCAATTAAGAAAACAGGAGTTGCTCCTACAAACAGAAGCTTGTGGACAAAAGCAACAGGAACGTCCGAGTTAGTGTAGCAGAGAAAGATGGCGTTACTAAAAGTTCTTGTGCGTTTATTGTTTGTCCTTTGAGCCATTCCTACAGTTATTACAGCATAAACTTATTGAAAACAGAAAAAGTCTTCTTATGGCAAGGATTTGTGGAAGATATTTCCAGATGAACTATTTGCACACCTCAGTATTTATGGCAGCTAGAGATATTATCAACCCTGAGGTAGCACAACAAGACCAATGCAGATTTTCTCTGAGGCACGTTTGGACATACTGTACACACAGCACGTCCCAAACCTACATTGATGTACGGAAGTCTTGGATCTGCAAAGATAAACAACACACGTAAACAATCCCTGAATAAAAATACTCTCAGAGAGTATTTTGTCCTTTAAGATGAGCTCTGTGACGGTGTTCTGACTTGTCTAGATGTCAGTCTGTCCAACACTGGTCCCTCAGTCTCGGATCTGGATTCGTCCCATTGTGCTTTGTTCTTTCCTCCAAGCTGTGGACAAAGTGACGCCTCCAGAGAGTGGAGGTTGTACGTGAGTTACCCCATTTAAATGCCCACATTAGTTTGAATGAATCTGGCTATTGGTGCCTTACGACCTTTAGGATCTTTTCCATGTCCCGTGCACTTCCCAGCTGCAAAGAAACACCTGCTGAGGACAGCATGAAAAGGTATTAGTGGGACAGAGAACTGAACTCAACCATGGTCTGCTCACTAACTCGATAGAAAAACCGCCCTAGCAATGTCCTAGTCGGTGAGGAAGGATAGTTTGAAAAAGTACATGTGAAAATCATTAGGAAAAAACCCCAAAATCTTACTAAGTCCCACCAGTTTCTGTCATCTCTCAGAATTAGGTCTGACAGACCAGCGATTTAGCTCGCAGCAGCTCTGACAAATGCTTACCTACCAACCACGTGATATTCTGCCTCTATTAAGGTGTTTTAAAAATAGTAAATTTTACTGCATTTTTATGTGATACGAACACACAGTACTTTCTACATTTAGTTCTTGATTTGCAAAACAGCAATTCCGACAGGAACAAATATATGAAATGCGTGTGCTGCTACATGTCCTGTAGCCGCTATGTAACCCAAAGATAAAACGTTGACTTCATTTCAGCTAACACAATGTGTTTATGCCAAGTAAAATTAATTTCACAAGTTATTAATATTGATGACTGCTTCTGAAACTTGAAAAGAAATTTCCCTGATCTCACTTTTCCTTCTTGGTGATGCCAGCTCCCTCCCGCCCACACCCATAAACCCCTTCCGTCACTCACATGTCTCTACAATCTTTTGTTCAATGCTTATTTCATGGAGTTCTGTAATAAAAACATGATTGCTGAACTTCTCTTCAGTTTTTATATTCATTCTCACGTGTACGTCTAATGCTTAACAGAACTTTTTTTCCTCTTTCCCAACTCCCCATACATTTATTTACAAATTTCAGGTGGCTTTGTACTTCGCATGTAAATGCCTATTTGAGGTTTGTGGTCTCAACACCTACTCTCACAGTATATGGCAGTTAGTATAAATTAAACTGGAATATTAGAGACTGTATAATTGACGTTCTTCACAATCTGTCAAACGATGATTTTCAGTTGTGTTTCATATCACAAGCTGGTTTTGTCACCTAATAAAATTTGAATTAGTGTGTTTACATTACTGGCTCACATTTCTAGTCAGTCAACTACAAGAACTTCTGAAATAAACTTAATACAAGTCAGTACTGACCTTTATAATTCTGAGCAAGAAGCCCGTAAGATGATTCTCCAGAGGGAATGAAACCTTTTCCTTCAGGACACAAATCACTAAATTCAGCTAGGAGAGAGCAAAACCAAAGAATGATGTTGTTAAGAAAAAGTTACATACGTACGTGCTACATAGGTGTTTCAGGGTATTTTGAGAAGGCTGGGGCAACGTTTTGCCTTATTCACATCTATCAGGCGGTCACGCACACCTTTAGCTAAATGGGGGATGCTAACGCTGCAGCCAGACTTGCCCCCACCCTTAGTTTGCAAAGCTAGCTTTGAAAAACCTAGCTAGGGTACCCACAGCATCGCAGAGCTCCATGCAAACTAACTTCTCTTGCTCCTTGGCAGGAGCATGTAGTCCTTACTGGGTTTCATGGTGCTCTGCAGTTAGCAGTAGCCAAATTATCTTAATTAAAGCTAGCGTGGGCCTCTCTGAGCTATACTGCAAGCTGCAATCTAGACATACCCCAACTGAGATATAAACCCCTGTCCACATTTTTCAGTCCTTATACAGGAAAAACACTAATTGACTGCAAGAGGAGAACACGGTGTGGATTACAGAGGGAAATGATTTGAAGCGTCCTGGAGACTATACGGAATCAAAGAAACCTATCCAAGCAGAGAGGCTCTTTTCGGAATGGATTTCATTTCAGTTTCACTGATTCTAAGGTATAGTTAAAACAGGAATTAAACACGATGATGCATTTGTGTGAAAATCTTTAGTGTTTAATCTCAAAAAGTTTACACGTTCTCTCTTATGTGATTTTTTTCCAGCTGGATTATGAATTTCAGCCATCACTGTGTTTCAAGGACTGTTTTCAATATTTTTGACAAATAGCATACGGCTGTGTTTTTCTAATTTAATATTTAGAGGTTAAACAATGGTCTGCAGACAACATGATTAACTGAATTGTTCACTCAGTAGCAAAACGTAAAACTAACGTCATAATATAGATCAGTAATTCGCAGTGCTGTGGAAACAATATTGCAAAGAATAGCTGCAGACTCAGAAACGCTGTAATGCTTACCTTTGTTTTCCAGCCTGTGGGAAAAATGCAACATACTGCATTGCATCTGGAAAAAGCTCCTGTGAGAACCCATCTTTGTTTAAAATCAGTTGGAGAGAACGCTGCTCAGTAACAGGCTGTTTTTATCCCTAGGATAACTGCAGTGAAGCCCATGGATTTACACCAGGTATTAATTATTCCTATTAAATTTTCCTCTGTGGAAGTCTCCCATGGGTACATCATGACTCAATACCACAGAATATGGGATTTAACGAGCAAGCCTCCTCTGAAGGCAAAGCAAGATTACGGTTAATGTAAACACAACGCTTTGAAGGTTTGCAAAGGGACAGAAGGCCTCCTCTTACCAGTTCCAAAGACAGGGCATGGGAAGATTTCACAGTTATCACCCCAGCCAGCACCCAAGGTACAGCAGCATTCTTGTTTGGTTACATTGGATGTAAGCACATTGTCACAGAAATTAGCATCGTTCAGATTGTAGTAGCACTCCTTCTTTCCATCTTCATGTTGATCAGTCTCTACTGGTAATTCTAAAGGCAAAAAGAAAACATAAACCACGTAAGGTGACACTTGAATCAGTTTTACAGAAGAACCAGGGGAGCCACAGTGCCTCAATTTCACCGCAGCCAAGAGCAGCATTGTCAGGCAGGGAAGAAAATGGTTAAGTACAAATTTTGGTTTAACTTTTTATTCTTAGGAAGAATGATGGAAGTTTAAAACCTTCTTTGGCTTTTTCAGACCTGTTCCTCAAAGGGATTCTTCACATTTGCCCTTCTTTCATTTTTAAGCAAGCCATGAACTACCTGCTCTCATGCTCCACTATCCAACGACTGTGCCCAGCTCCTGACATAGTGCTTTTCATCTGTGAATCCTGAAGCTCTTCGCAGAGCTGAGCAAACATTACGACATAATTTTACAGATAAAGGAGCTAAAGCACAAACTGAAAAGGCCTGATTTTCAAAAGAACAAACATTTCCAGACCCTTTAATTTGACTGGGAAAAAAGCATGTTCCGCACTTGAAAACAGGTCCCTTTATGATTTTTGCAAAAGTAACTAACGGAGTCCACAGTAAGCTGAGGAATATAATGCAGATGTCAAGTTAACTGACTCTGTGCTGTGCTTTAAAATAGGCATCCAGCCAAGAAGTCAGATTTTCTGCCGTTAGCAGTCGAGTGGGTCCTCTCACATTATTTATAAGCACTGGAGGCAAAATAGTCTCTCCCATAGATCCAATAAAAAAACCTTATGAATAGTCAAAGACCTTTCTAAAGCCAGACATTCCTAAAGTACACCAAGAAGCAAGTTTGAAAAGAAATACCTAGTTAAAGCTTCTGTTTGCAGAACTTCGTCTATCTAACCTTGCACTTCCACAAAAAGTCTGATCAAGAGCTCAGAAGTGGGCACTATCACGTAAAACTGTTATTCACACTGGATCAGTATGAGAAAGTTTGCGTAGGCCATCCGTAAGGTAACGGGGTTCTAAAATTAGAAATGCTCACATTTATTAATCAAGTTCCTGAACAAAGTTTTGGTTTTAAGATAGATAAATCTTGAGGCAACTAGTGTATTTCCTTTTTATCTTGGGAAATTCTTTACGCTTAGCACTTCACAAATGTTTAGATTACAAAATCCTACTAAAAATTATTGCATGTTGGCTGATTTTCCTTGGAGATTTCATTCATTTCTACTCAGGTTCACACCGTATGCCAAGCATGAGACATTTCTCAAGTAACGCATACATCCAGGCGGGAATCCAACCCTTATTTTATACCTGAGTGATGGTACATTGCAAAATGCTGGAAGATTTGCAAGACCCAAAGAGTTGTGGCATATAAACTACCTTTGTTTGCCTCGCAGCTCTTTTCAAGAAAGAGCTTAAGGCTGGCCCACTTACAAGTATTGGCATACCTGGGAGAGCCAAGTTCACTTGGCCACCTCATCTGTCCACCTCTGGTTGCCTCTTGGAGGTCAAGCTCAGCCTCTTTATGCCAGTTATAGGATGGATATTCTTCTAATCCCATCCACTTAAAAATGAATGCCCGTGAGGTGGGAGCTTGAAGATAGCGATTGTCCAACAAATGCTGAAGGAATTAAATGAACTCCAGCTCTTGTTACCTCAAGCTTGTTAGCCCTGCCCACCCACACTCCCCCAGGCAGATGGGGCAAGGCTGTTTGGCTGAGCATGCAAATATTAGATTTGTTTTTAGAAAAGCAGGTTTAAAAATGGTTGTATGGATTGTCCCATTATTGCACCTCAATAGTATGAACATGTGTCGTAGCTCTTCTGGCTTCTAATTCCAAGCAGACAATTGGGTTTATTTCTATTTTCCTCAGAAAAGCGACTGTTTCTGCTTGGGGAGGTTGAGGAGCTGGCAGACACCTCTATTCAAATTTAGTACAGTGTTGCCACCTACAAGGCAAACTTTTCCTTTGCTGTTTCGCCAATACAACTTAAGTTGTACATTAAAGGAAGCACCCAGCTGAGTGCTCATTTCATCTTTGTCAGTTTAGCCTGTGGTCTCCCTTCATCAGATAATTACAATTTTCCATAATGTGCTGAACTTCATAAAGTGCGGTGGTTTTGCGGTATCAGCTGCTATCCAATAGGAACTACGTTCAGACTATCATGTGTCACAGAAACGCAGCTGAACTAATCCGTTATTCCAAGGTGAGAGCGCAGTACTTAGCCACAAATTATACATTTTCCTTGGCCATTTGCCATCTAACTGCATCAAAGCTGAATCTTCAACAGGAGAAAAAGCATGGCAGTTTTCATGCTGTTTACCGGAGAAAGAAGACCAGAAGCTGCCCCGGGAGGAAGGGGAGACAATCTCATCATGTCATTGTTTATCCCCATTTTACATATGATGTGTTGGTTTCTCCTCCCATTATCTGTTCAGCAGCTTAAAAGTCTGTTGTTTACACAGCTGTGACTGAGGGTTAGTCAAGCAGGCGTTATGAATGTTTGGAAAGCAAATGAGACACAAATCTTTTATTTTTTTTTTTTAAACCAAGACCAGTCTGTGTCTACAAGCTTATAATTTCTCTCTCCTACATTGTTAACCATTTAGTAAACAGGCTGGTTTTGAAAGTGGTTTCATTAGGTATGTTGACAAAATATGATAGGAAATGGATACTTATTTTTTCTTTATCATTGTTTCATTTATCATTTCTTTATCATTGTTCAACCATTGTTGGGGGTTGGACTAGATGACCTCTAGGGGTCCCTTCCAACCCAAAACAATCTATGATTCTGTGATTCATGTTTTTTATTGTTTGAAAATCTCTGTACGTAAGGCACGCTGGTAAAGGAACATAATTTTATCAGGTCATTGATACGACTGTTTTACTAACAGCCTATATAGTTGCTGCTGACTGAACTCTGAAGCATTTATTAGAAATAGATTTCTATGCCTTAGCGTAACCTTGATCCGACAATATGCTTCAGCATGTGTTTGATGCAAAGACATGCATTAGTAATATAGTGGATATTGTATATCCACTATATATATCACTATATAGTGATATAGTAATATCAGTGGATAATCAGGGTATTAGCATGTGCTTAGACTTCAGCATACGCTTAAATATTTGCCTAAATAGTGCCCTGTTAACAGCTGCGGTCTGAAAAAAACAAAACATGTAGAAGTGATGGGACCTTAAATATTGCAGCTGTGTACTGATGCCTCTTACTCATAGGTGGAATCAGTAAGGTGGTTGCTAAAGTGAAAAATCTTCATTACAAGTTCATGACTTCTAAAACCTCAGCAAAAAACCTCTGGTGATTCTGAGCAAGCAGCTCGGGTAATACACGCTTTCAGAACCTGTTTTTCAAAAAGACAGTAAAACAGGTGAGTATGTGCCTGTTGTGATGGTGTACTTGTTTGGATTTCTCAACTGGCTCCACCTGTGGCAAGCTACACCACCTAACATGGGTGTATGCAGTGTATATGCATATACATTTGTGCGTACAGTTCAGGGATTAGTGAAAGTGCACATTTTAAAATGATATTTAAGACTATGTTCATAGATGACTGAAATTCAGATCATTATTTACCTTAGAAACCCATGAACATATAGCCATAAAAAATACAAATATGAAGAGTTTTAACATTTAGAAAGCCCTTAAAGTTTAGGAAATTTAGAATTGTACTCAGGCACCAAATTTCTAGCCTTGAGGAAGCTTTTGGATCAGATTTATAAAATGTTACTTGGCAACCTCAAATTTTTTTGTGCTGGCAGTTGGTTAGATGCAGGGGGGATTGATTTTGTTTTAACACAAATCAGTCTAGGAGGGACTCATGTTTGAACACCAAAACTGTGAGGTTTACTTACAAATCCTAGTAAATGCTGTTAAATATCTTGCCATAAATAACTGATCACATTGCATGTAATCAGGAGAAAGCAACACCTAAATTAGCTGTAGGTACCCAATGGGCCCTGGTACCTTAGTGGAGTTCTCTCACTGGAATTCTTTCTACTGGCTGAGCTGTGACCCAAACGCGTGAACTTGCTGACCTCTGTGTGTGTAAGCCAGGTTCCTGCCGACATGCTTATGTTTACACATGCTTTTGTTTGCAGTTCTCATTTTAAATCATACCTTCTGTAATCCTCAAATAGAGACCAGCCTTTATAGCTTCTGGGTTCAATGCAATGATATATTAGTGATATATTAGTAATATATTAGTCATTTAGATGCACACTAGAACATGCATTTTTACGTACGTCGAAACAATTAAACCCATGTTAATACGTATTATTACTCAAACTGCATTCAGCTTGGTACTTGCTAGAAATTAATCATACATGGCTTTATATATCTTGTTAAAAGAATAAATGAGAAGACTTGAACCCAAACCAGGCATTTTTTTTCTCTCTTAGGTACTGTGTAACAGCAAAGTTTCATCTAATACAAAAGAGAGTTCCTTCCTCCTTTATCTTTCCTTCCTTCCAAAGCATTCGCTATATTTTGTGAACAGGAGGGCAGAGAGGAGGGGAACAGGACAATCAAATGTTACACAATTACTTTTTTTTTTTTTTTTTTTTTTACTGGAACGTGACAACATGGGTAGAATTCCTGATACATACGCTGAGAGAATTGTTTCAGGGCACAGCTAAAAAAAGATGAATTTCCACCAAGTGAAATCTAAATAGAAGGAAGTCTTGAGAGCCCTAATGGCAAGTAAAGTGTGAACACACCCCACTGCACAAAGCTAACAGCCTTTAACCACATGAAAAAAGTTCCCAAATTAAAGTAACATTTGAACAGTCTTCACCTATTTCCATTCGATATGAGGTGGATGAACATTTCTTTATGCACAAATATACAAAATGAGAAACAAGCAAAAGCTGAGTAAACCACACTGAACTATAGATATCTGCAACAGATTAATGCGGATTAAATTTTTCCTTTCTGAAAATAGGCACGATGCAAGCTCATGCTGACAGATGACGTCCACACACACCTTAGGATGCACTCTCCCCACTCCTGACTTGAGTTCTTGAGCCCGACTCGGGTACGTGGCTTGTTAAAGCCAGAGGATGCGTGCCTATCCTATCGCTCTTCGCAGGGAGATAGCGTGCTACTCCTATCTGAGCATGCTGCCATGGGGCTTCCGCCACTTACAAATGGGGAGGAAAAGACTGGTTTTGTTCCCTCTTCAGTTGACAGCGGCACAAGGGCCACCCACTGGGTCCCAGAACAAAATAGGAACAAGCAAAGTGAGCAGATGTAGAAGAACGAAGTGTGCACTGTCAGCTTCTGACATGTGAAATCCAGAGGTACGTGGGGCAGTGTCAGTACTTGACTGCTCAGTCTCTGAGGTCTTGAGAAACAGAAGCCAGCTGGTAAGAGAAAAACGAACCGGCAAGGCTGTAGGATGTACAGGAAAGCAGGAATCCTTTTTAAGAAGAGTTAACAACAGTACTTTCCTTCTCTTACTTTGGAAGAAAACTAAGAGAATAAATAGTAAGATCTCTGTTCCCAGTACTGCCACTTCTCCTTATTCTAGTTCAAGAGCATATGGTGTAAAGTACATCTCGCTGGGTCCTACTTTGCATGTTTTCTGGTCTCCTGTGTGAGATCTTCCTCCTTGACAACCTTGTCAGAGAAGAGACAAAGGTGAAGGACGTGTTTTGTTAGGGCCCGATGAAGGCTGGAGAGGGCGGGAGAATGGCTGCTTTCCAAACTGACCACAGTAAAGCTATGTTCACCGGTGACAACAGAATGGGATTCATAGCGACAGTTCTACTTCTTGATATTCACCTGTTGACAGTGCATCAGCCACACCGGGTTTTTCATCCCCTCCCTCCCCACAGTAATGTTTGGGTGTGTCCTTGAATGCTCCTTGGACTTGACTTCTTTTTATGTGGGCTCAGGTCCTCTGCTAATTTCTTTAGCTTTGGTTTTATTTTGCCAAGAAGCTGGTAATACTCCCAAGTATTACCTCTTCAAGTACCAAAACGAAGATGGCATTCACATCTGCTGCAAATCTTGATAATATAATTTAAAACACTCTTCCGTAAATTCACAGAAGACTTTTAAATACTGCTACTTCAGTTATCCTCAGCGGGTATTTAAGCTAATCTGTTTCATGGTGGAAAAGTACTGCAGTATTTTTCCTTGCAAACAGGAATGGAGGCAGTACCACTGGGCATTGCTCTGCTGCCTCAGCCATCTCACTTTTTTTCCATTCTTCCTTCATAAAACAAGCCCCTGTAAGCCTGAATCTTTCTCACAAGATTTTGCAAAGGTTTCAGTTTGTCAGTCGGCTGTTAGTGATATTTCACAGGCAACTTCTTGAGTGCTGCTGAGCACTACATTCAGTGATCTAAATACTTGTTGCAGTTAGGTCACAGATATTTCAACCTCGTTTATAAGTCTGAAAGACCATGAGTAATAGGAGAAAATAGCCACAGCCGTGTAAGCTGTAGAGTCGGTATCCTGGCACTACAGCCAGTTATTCTAAAGCTTTCCGGAAGCTAGATCAGCCGGCAGTGTAAGAACAAAATAAGAAAAATATGAAGATTTTCATTCTGGAGGGGGGGAAAAAAAAAAAAAAAAAAAAAGAGCTGTGCAAGTAAATCCCTTCATTTCTTGTACTCTGTTGCTCCTTACTGGGGGCTTGTTCCTTTCTCCGAACCGGATCAGTGTAGAAATGTGGAGGCAACTTTAAGGATTCTAAATTCATTATTCATGAGTGTATTTCCAGTAGTATTTGCAACACCCGATAACAAAGGCTTACAAATTCAGTACAATGGACTATTAGGAAAAACAGGAAAAACAGGACAAAAGGTGGTGTACAACAGGCAAGGGCACTCAAAATGCACTGGAAGAGACTGACAACAATTCAGTGTTTCGCTTTTTTGCTTTCCCAGCTACCTTTCCTGAGGACTTACGCTGCTACTAGATAATGCTAAGAGGATACTGCTATACACAAATCTTGGTTTTATTCATATGCTCCCTTAAACATTGTCCAAGCATACTCGTGGATGTTTGTAAAAACATGAAGGGAAAATAAAATCACTCAGGCCACAGACTTGATTCCATTTCACATTTCGTTGTTACAGCACAGCAAACAAGACTGTTTACTCTTAACTGCTGTAACTGTTCATTCTCGCTGCCAAGTCTGTTGACGTATAAGATTTAGAAGATGTTTCTGCTATATTTTCACTGCTAATGGTTCACTGATAACACATTCCATCCTGGAAACGCCTCTTTTCATGCACGCACTTTCAAGAAGACAAAAGTTTTAAATTTTTCTGTTGTAGTTAAAGCCACACCGGCATTTACACCAACTTTACCTTTCCATTGGTTACATATGCAGTGGAAATCATGCCAAGCATGCAAAAACCCACTGGTGTTCTACCTGCTGAGGTACGGAAGCGACACTGTCCGGTCATCGGATCATACTCCTGGTTTTCATCAGAGCACAGGCACAGGAAAGAACCATCGACATTTTCACAGAGGGCTTCGCCACATACTCCACTCAGCATTTCACATTCATTCACATCTGGGGAAAAAATCCAAACCATAAATCAATTCAGACCCATTACTGACAGTTTGTTCTTTTATCTGCTGTATCTGTGCCAATATTGTCTGCCAGATTACAGATGTGATCTCGGGGGAAGGCTTAAAAACTCACTAATACCTAAGTGGATTCATAAACAAGTAGTCAGTCTTTTGAAATCGAGGCCCCTGAAAGCCACAGTACAGTTTATAGACTATTGGTGCTGATTAGGTGCTGCTTGTAGACCAGAACACTGGCTTTCATTTTTTCGGGGGTTTCTTTCTCATTTTTAAAGATTTGCTTTTCTTTGCACCCTTTTCTTGGGATTTAAGATTCAGACAAATTTCATTTGTTTTCTTTCTTTATTATCAAACCTCCGCTGAATTCAAGGAGCAAAACGTGTAGGTTTTGGTGTGATTCAGACCACACTATGGAAAAGATAATTCCCTTTTCTCCTTAAAATCCCATTTTCTTCATGAACATCCACTGAACAGTGAATCCCCCAGCCCCCCCCAGTGCCTCTCGTATTCACAGCCTCACAGGCTGCTCTGGAACCCACAAGGGTTCTGCTCAAGACACTCAGGGAGCCCCTGCCAAACACTGCAAATTCCCTCTCCCCAAAAAACCCCACATATTTTTAACTTGACTTCCATATACCTGCTAACTCGTAGTCTACCCCAAAATGCTTTTTCGATTGACGGGAGAGTTGTCTGCTGTTTAAACAAGGGTTACCAAATACTGCTGGGATCCCTTAACTTTATTCTCTCTTCAGTTACTAAAGCTTACATTTGAAAATCTACTTTGTGTACTCATGACAGAATCTGGAAATTATTATTTGTGTATCCCAATTCAGAAATTTCTCTACTTGAGCGTGGTGTAAAGTATAACTTGTGAGACAACGTTTTATCCTTTTTACCTCTTACCCAGCAAGAATGTAAGTCATGTGACTGAATGTTGATTTTTGTGAATTCATATATAAATACGCATTTTAACTTATGATTTGCTCAGCACTGTTAAAATGTACTTACATTTTTCTTTATCTTTTTGCTGGATTCCTGTCATAAGAAATAAATCTTGTTTGCGGAACATTGCCTGGCCAGGCACTAAAGAGACTTACCTTTACCTAAAATTGTTTTGGTAGATAACCGGCATAAAAAATTTATGAGAGTATTTTATATTATATAGTGTGTACAAGAAAAAAACCTAAGACAGAATCACTTCGCTGGCGACCCAAAATTAAATTTGTTTTCACACCAGCTTTTGCTTTTCTGTTTTTTTTTCTTTTTTCTTTCTTTGCTTCATTTATTTTCATGCATGAGAAGTCACTGTATGCAAAAACATACATTGGGATGTTGCAAACTAAGTGCCAAATGGCATAAAGAAATTTTTAATAAAACTATTTAATGTGTTAGAAAACACATACAAATGCTTCTGTAAAACTTCTAACTCCTCCTTTCTGTTTGGTATTTTGTTTAGGTCTCTGTTCCTGGTAAATGTTTTTAATCCTGAGTCTGGCTTGAAGAAATTGCTAAATGAATACCTTTCCTTGATCTGGCATTAATTTTGTATTATTAATTTTGTATTGTGCTGCCTCTGATGGATCTTGGGTCCAACCATATTAATTTTATTTTAGAAACTTGTGCTGCCTCTGATGGATCTTGGGTCCAACCATCACTATTAACAACAGATCTGGAAACCTCTTCTTCACAAGAGAAATGTGCAGTGTTTACACAGCTACAAAATTCTCACGTCTTTTCATGGTGATAGGTGTCTTTCCTGGAGCTCGAAGCCAGTGTTAAAATCTGTTCAAATATGATGTGCCTAGGGAGGTGTGCCATCTAATTCAGACTGGCTGTACCACATGCCAGACGTGATTTCCTGTAGGGGGTAGTACAGAGGTTCTGGTTATTCAGCTAAGAGACTAAACAGATGTTGCATTTAAAATAGGCTAAGGTATTAAATTCAATCTAGTATGATTTATATTTGTGAATGGTCCTGATGTGCAGAAATAGTGGGTTTTCTTGGGGTTTTTTTTAAAGAGATAAAATGAGCAGCTCAGCTTATTTGCTGTTGGTTTTCATTGACTCCTAATAACAGGTTCTCAATTAAATGGATACGCAATGAAGTTTCCATCTGGCACAAAGTTCAGTGAGCAAAGCACAGCTCAACCTTATTTTACTAGTAAGTCATACAACTTCAACAAAAAATGACAGAAAACAAAAAATGTTCTTGTGAAGAAATGCATTTTGCTCATATGCTGCTTTTTGGCTGCTATAACCTTGCAGGAACGACCGCTTGTGCCTAAGAACTCACCCGTACACCCTTGCCCATTCTGTGGGTCCTGATACCCTTGGTAACAGAGGCAGCGGTAGGAGCCATCCATGTTCTCACAGAACCCGTGACTGCCACATATTGTGCCATTTGCACATTCGTCGACATCTGCAAGGAAGAATTTTAACATCAGACAGGATATGCGACAACCAGAGGCAGACACATTCATGAATAGTGCAGAACAACAACAGACAGGTCGTTTTTGCAAACAGATGCAGCCATGTCCCTCTATACTTTGGGAAGGAAAACACAAAGGACAAGACACAAAAATTTAATGTGAGCACAGATACAGTTTGGGAAAATGTTTCAGTGTTAACTTCACAGGAAGTATCTTATGTCAGACAACGGTTTTGGTCAACTGTCTCCCATCTGTTTCACCAATCATGGCATGATGCTACTCACCACAGAGTAAGACATAGTTTAAATACAACGATTTCCCTGGCTTACAGCTTCTACCAGTGTAGCATTATAGGGTGAACAACAGGTGTGAAACTGCCCCCCCGTGCCTACAGAAGAGGTCAAGGGTATGGTTGCATTCATTGGGCAGAAGTGCTGCACAGATCTCGTTCTGGCGCTCAGCACAGGTGAGAATTTCACAGAATCACAGAATGGCAAGGGTTGGAAGGGACCTCTGGAGATTATCCAGTCCAATCCCCCTGCTAAAGCAGGTTCACCTAGAGGATGTTACATAGGACTTCATCCAGGCGGGCTTTGAATATCTCCAGAGAAGGTGGATGGATTTCATAGTGTATATGTAAGTGTTACATATCTGTGGACTGAGCATTCTGGCTTTAATTCTGGAAGTTTACACCTATAAATAACCTTACACAGGTAGGCAAAATAATTACAGTGCCTGCATGCTTTCTGCACTGGCCCTTTCATTCGTAGTTCCCACTTGTGGGCTGCTGGCCTTACAAGTAAGAGTCACTTGCATGAGTAAGTCTCAGCTGCCCCTCAGCCTATAATGAAGCAGAGCCACTTGTGGCAGAGCGTGGTTTGTTTTTGTAAGTGTATTATAAGTGCTAGGAATGTATTATTTTTATCTTCACTCAAAGCAAGACCTAAACCCAAGGCCCTGACCATCCATGGTCGTTAAAGACATCACGGTGTGTTTTTCAGGAGGAAGAACTTTAACTGGAAACCTGCCAGGATACTAGGATTAGTACCTTCTGCCTTCTAAATTACTCTGCAGTTACAAGCTGAGAAATTATTCCTATCCTACTTTCTCAGAAACCATTATGACTGTTAAGTAAGGTTGCTGTCCGCTTGGAATTACCTCCTGCACTGTGCCTGGGGGGAAATTACATTTTAAATGGTGAATAAAGTGATTTGCTTTTGATTGATTTATCTGGGTACTAGCTACTATCATTAACTCTGCACATTAGCGTAGACCTTCATGTGACGGAGCCTACCATGATTCTACCTCCAGTGAAGGCCTCAGGGCACTCACTGAGCTGAAGGTCTGGTGGGGCTGAATCCTGCACTGCCTCAGAGAGAGGGCTGCTTTGAACAGGCGAGCAGCACTGCTGCCGGGTGTCCTTCTGAAAGGAGAGAGGAGGGCTCAAGCACAGCCCTGTCTACTCCTCCAGCTGTTCACAGCTGTGTCAAACAGAGGCCTAGAAAAGTCAGCAAAGATGCGCCTCGTTCACGTGACAGTGCTCACCAAGCAAGAACATTTTGACTTTTAAACTGTGTCTTAACACTCAGCTGAACGGGAACTCTTGGTCATTGAACCAGGTGGTCACAGCTCCCCAGTCTACCCAAACTTGAGCAGCACATCATTACCATTCACACATTCCCCGACAGGTTACCTGTCGTGCAGCCCTCTTGCGCCCTAAGTACCCCGGTTCATCCTCACATGCTTCTGTCTGCCTCAGGGAGAGGCTTTTTTGGGGTCTTGAAAACCAGCTTTTCCTATTTGCTGTGGCTGGGGTTTGAACAGGCTTAGAACTGCATATTGATTTTGAAGGCCAGAAGAGACTCGCTGCATCATGTAGCCTGACCTCTTAAATAGGTTAAAAAACTGTCTCTGGCAAATTTTGTGAGTAAACTGTGGAATTCTAACATCTTTTTCAGAAAGGCATCTGATTTCACTTTAGGATGTCTAAGTGATGGAAAAAACTCACCTCTTCAACCAACCGATCCACTGGTTAACCTTCAGCTATAACACAAAATGCATGCAAAGCCTGTATGCATGTGTTACATGCACTGAAATCTAGGAGACATAACTGATAACTGTAAAAAAAAAAAAAAGTACTTGCAGATGGAACCGGCAGAGTGATTTATTTGGTTTGGTGGTTTTGTCAATAAAGGCTTTAATGCTCTTTATAACTTGATTTATTTAACAAAGGGAAAATACTGAAGGAATTTATCTCAGAAACGGTTATTTGTACTTGGCAAAGAATACAATAGCTGGTATGTTTATTCTCAAGGAACCGAGTATGAAAATTTGGGTGGTTTCTGCATACCGAACTTATTGAAATCTACCGCAAACTCTCCCTAGTAGAATTAATTCAGCAATAAGACTAAGCAATATATATCTGTATGAACGACGCTGTCAAAGGTGAAAGATCAAGTATTACCTTTGATACCCTTCCTTTTCCAGTCACCGTAATGACAGAATTATAAAAAGATGCTTATGGAGTTACTGGGAGAAAGAAGATACAAATTCTTTAGGGTTGTGTTTTTCTGGACTCTCCCTCTTGCTGCTGTGCGTTATACCCGCATAACATAGCTTATTTAAATTTTTATTCTCATATGGTCATCGGAGTTTCACATATCTGGTCAAAAAATCTGAATACTCTATTCTCTTATATAAGAAAATCCCGTTAAGTTAAGAAAGGGAATTCAAAATGAGTGAACAATGGTGGATTGACAGCCAGGAATTTAAGACAACAGACAAGAACGCAGCATTTGTATTTTCAGCGGCCAACTATAATTTAATGTTATAAGTTCCTGAGCCACGGGGCAGTTACTCTGTTAAAAGCCTAGACAGAAGAGACTACAACTGGGGATTTCAGAATTACCTAGATTACAGTATTTCTCTTACTTAATAGCTAAATGTGAAAGGAAACAGATAGGGAAATGGATCATGCAGCTGGTTCTCTAAAGGTAAACTAAGGTCATTGAAAAGCTGCAGAAACAAAACTTGTGATTGTAGCAAGCGTCCTAATTTAGTATATAATACAGCCACAGAAGGCAGTTTTGTTTTAAAGAGTATGCAGGCTGAACATGACAGGATCTTTCAGTGTATGGGAAATTACAGAGAAGGTCCAAGCACCACATACTTTTCCTTGTCTAGACAGCTCACTCAAAGGACTCCTGTTTTACAGCCGGAAAGGGCATTTGTTTCTTTAATCGCCCTGTAAAGCATAAGGCTTGTAATCGGTGATTCTCTTGCTATATGGAGACAAAGCAAGGGGAAAAACTAAATACAAAACTAATTTATCCTATGTCTATACAGTGACTAAAGCAGCTCTCTGTAATTATGACCTGTTTTAGAATCCATGACTCAGTGCCGCCTGCTTTAATCAAAACTCCTTTGATCTAACATCCTCAGGATCTAAAGAAAGGCAAACCACGTGTGCACTCAAGGGCGCTCCTATTCAGCTCAACACCGTGTTCCTGTTTTCTGCCAACCTGACCAAGATGAAGGCACGCTTGACCTCAGGCATGATATTTAAGTCTCACTGAAATCTACTAACATGGCAAAGGGTCTCGAAGAGGAACTGGTTCCTTGGACAGTTCTGTACAATGCTTAGGGGAACAGAGCTCTGATTGTGAGACTTCCAGGGCTGCCCATAACACCCATACATAAAAATCACGGTCATGAGAAGATCCGAAAAATGAATATTTGGAGAAAGACTTTGGCCATCTAGAGGCAATAATGCTGGACAGTCATTCCAACGTTGCGATGATGTGGGTAAGAAAGAGATTCCTGTTTTCCCCTTTGTGTTTTTACTTCTCTAGCCAGCATCCAGATAAGTAGTTGATGCCCTAAAACATCTCTATCAGCACACGTGAGAAGGCTGGTGAAGTCTGTGGTTACTCACTGTGAAACCAGAAGTAGCTCACAGGGGCACACTCTGGAGATGCCTACTCAAATCTATGTTTAGCAGAAGCATAAAATTTACTCCATGTGACAGATAATACTCTACCCCAAAAGGAGCCCTAGATTTACCATACCCTTTTCCTAAAACTGCCTTGTCTTCCCTATAAGGGCAGAATTATGGTTGTGACATGCAGTTACAGCAAACTTCTACTCTCCCAAAATGTCTGTGGTGGCAGAGGTAACAGTTACGCACTGTTGGCAGCTCTGCTCTTTGTTTCCCTGATTTTCAGACTTCTCAGGTATGCAGTCATCTGAAATGATGGACAATGTGGCATCTTTGATCACAGAATGATCTGCGGATGTTCCATGCAAGCAACCAAAAGTTTCAGAAAGGTGGCTTTTTCAGTGGACAAGGAACAGAGAACAGGATACAAGACAGTAAGTGAGTGGAAAGGAAGCAGCAGTGGCTGGAGAGCCCTGATGGGATGTACAAGTTTTTTTTCGAGTGCCTGTTGAGGCCAGCAGTGAAGCTTGGGGCTTGAAGCAGAGAGGGGGGAAAAGTGAGAGAGCTACTGAGAGACACGGGGATCGGACACAGAGACAGAGGAGGCACTGAGGGCATGGTATTGACTTAAGCATCAGAGAACCTCTAGCTTGAGTTTTTGCCAACACAGTTGACTGGCAGCCAACTGGGTAGAACACTGCCTTTACAGGAACCCCAGAGAGCTCGATGGGGAGCTAGGGAGTGCGCCGAGAGCCTCCTGTTCAGAGAGCCTGGCGCAGCCAAATTGCTGAGCCTGGGGCCAGGCGGCAGTGGAATGTCACCGCTACAACAAAAGTTTGTCTACACCTTGGAAGAAGACACAGTCTCCACAGCTGTTCAGTTTACTTTGGCCAATGCCCATAAAAACTCCGTACCAGAACTGAACCACATGGGGTTCCTAAATGTTTTATGTTGTTGTTGTTTCTGACTTTTCGAAAAAATGAGTCAAACTCATACAAAAACAGTCTGGAGATATGGAAAATCTGCTCCCCAGGTACAGAGAGGCGTCTGAACCCAGCAAAATTTCCTCAGGTTCTTTCTCTGATGGTATAAACAGTTATTCTCACTCACTTAACTAGAAGTAAATTCACAGAGGCACCTAGTGTAAAGAACAGTAGCTCCTGCGGCTGGAAGCCACATCCTTTCTCAGTACCTGGAATGTCACACGTTCCTTTTGTTCCCGATGCTTTTGTTTCGTCTTGCCTTTTTGCATGCAGCTGACACAGCTACAAATATTAACACTGACGCCATCAGTGCTCCCTTTAAATGATTTTTTTTTTCAAGTCTAGAATTGTTTTTATTAAAATGACAGAATGGAGAAACTAATCGTGGTAGAAAAGGAGGGCTGCTGCTTCAGAAGACTAGAAGTACCCTTGCTTCGCCAAGTTATTAAAATACTTTTCCAAGGGCTGAATATAAAGTCTGATCTGTATTCCATACACACCACCAATTACTTGTGAAGCACGCTCAACTGGTTTTGTACTTGTTGTTTTATTCTTCATTAAAAAGTTCCAAAACTACTCACAATCCTGGAAATAAGATCTTGTGATTTCATCCTTTTCTATTTAGTAAAAGTTTGGCTTTTTTGTTCTAATGGAGATGATCTTTGTACTACTCCATCATATGTGATGGTAACCCTTTCCCTGGGAACTGTGCTGCTTTATTAACAGCCAGAGATCCAGACAGAGGGGCTCATTGTTTCTGGTACATCCCCTAAAATTAGGTGCCACCAACTTGGTTTTTTCCACCCCTAAAGTTTTGTTTCTATTCAGTTCTGCTTTTTTTAATTTCTCAGAGTTTGATTTCACAAGGTTAATAAGTGTTCTTCTAACCTTGGTTTGGAATAAAGTGTTCGGTTTTTACTAAGAGCAAACTGCATTCTTCTCTGACCACTTTTTTTTTTTTTTTTTAAAGCTATGCTCAACAGTGAGGCAAAACACCTGCTACTACTTTTCTTGCAGAGAAATCAAAGATATTTAACCATATCCTTCCTGAACACTGGGTGAAAGGTACACATGCTGCCAAAAGAGTCCATGAACATGCTTTGGAATTATCCTTATTACTTGAAATCACAAAATACTGCCTTGTTCCCTACTGAATTATTACTTTTCCCACAAGGCTTCTTGTCTTGAACAGTCCTCTCAACTGTAAGAGCCATTTTTCCTCCAGTTTGGGGAATTTTTGTTTTCTACCGGTATCACTGGCTACGCAAAGCCATGTATCTTCTTGGTATCACTGAGCACAGCTCTCCTATTTTAAATTCAGCACAGAAGAGCAGCATCATTAGCTCTCCTGCTAGTGCGCGTGTTCCATTAGCAAGAGGATATAGTCTCACATTATAACAAAATAAAACCCCTAGTTACACCTAAATTCTAGGCTCCTGAGCGATGTTTCTCACCAGTGTTATTACTGGAGCAGTGTTATTACTTTTACAACCTTATATGAAAAATACCCGTATAAGCATACCTGCGTACACTTCAGAAGAGTAAGCTGGCTTTAGCACTGTAAAGATCTAATTACTGTTATTTACTCCATTTCTGCCCTTTCAAAACGTCTGAGGTTCTATCATAGATAGCATTTTACTGCAATTTCTCACTGGAGTTACTTCTGTTGTATGGATGCTCCATCCGCATCTTTTAAAAAAGAAAAAAATCTTGACAAGCAAGGTTCTGTTGTCTCACACACTGTAACGAGAACATTTGAGGCAGCGCAGGCTTTCTGCTGATGCATTTAAGAATCTTTAAACTAAAGAATCCTAAAAATTTATGGCAGAAGGGCTACCCACTTGAACCTTACCAGAAGCCTAAATTCCAAACTCACTTTACATGCGTTTTATATATACTTATTGCTTCCGCCCTTGCTACAAGATAGAAATAACTTCCCATCTATGAATAGATTTCATATTACAGATGTCTACCTGTTTCATATATCATAACATAAGAAAACCAGTCCCTCCTTTGCCATCATTTGCCATAGTTAGGTTAGTATTCCTTCTTTTTCAATAATTTCTTTTGTTCAAAAAAATAGAATCCAGTGTTAAGATAGCAAAATTACTAAAAATCAAGAAAAGTAAACTACAGATTCTGACAAACATTAACTCCATTACGTTGCCCATTTGGTACATTTCCTGTTATACTTCTCATGATTCAAACAGCAATGCAGCACCTGGTGCTTTTACGAGGAAATCAAAGGGCTCTTAGGTGGCAGATTGAGGAGTTAATAGTGGGGGTTTTGGGGTATTAGACCCAAACTGACTACTCTTCTTGCCCAACCAATAGCAAATCAATGGCAACGCACTGACTTGTCTCACCTTCGCACGTTCGGCCATCTGCAGACACAGAAAAGCCCCGCTCACATATGCACTGGTAGGAACCATCCGTGTTGAGACATTCCCCGTGAGGTGAACAGAGGTCAGATCTCTCACATTCATTGATATCTGAAAACACAGAGACATTAACAGCTTCGCAAATCATTGTACCCTTAATAACGAGCCTAAGTTCAATTAGTCTTTAAGACTAATTTTTAAAGTAGCTTTTATTTCCACCAGCTATGTAAACAGCTATGCAAATGGGGCTCATTTTCCAGAGTAACCAAATCTGGGATCATTCTTAAACTCTGTATACGCATCGGTATGTTCTGCTGCATCATGCTCTCACTAGATCACTCTCTGCGATGATGACGATGAGCAGATGAGAGTGATTTGTGAGTTACCAGTACAAGCTCCAGGCTAGCCAACATTTCCTCCGCGTTAGGGGAATTCTCAGATGGCTCCAACTCACTGTTGCTTGATTGCTGCACGCTGCTCACCTTGCGCACCTGGCTCATGTGTTACCAGCAGGTCTGGAGTTGCATCCTTCCCAGTAAGTTGATTTTATGTAATTTAAAGCTAAATGCTCTATTTTGCTGATGAGGAATGGGAATGGTCCCAAAAGGTTGCTATACAAGAGTTTGTCATAATTTCTTTTTTTTTTTTTTTTTAAACTTGGAAATCATTTTTCAAACACTGCCTTTTAAACTTACTTTTGAATCTGAAAAACAAGCATTTCTTTCTGGCTGATGTCTCATCTTGCCAACAAAACCTGCCATCAGAACTTAAGGATTGCATTCATTCATTAAGGAGGTCCCACTTCTACATGAATTACCATTCACATTGTAATTGTACTTTTGTAGTTTGCTTTACAGAAACCTTTTAAGAAGTTTTCAATACCACACTGAGATCAAAAACAAATCTAGAAACAAAACTTACACAAGGCTTATTCATCCATCATCACAGATACTAAAATTTCTTATTCTTTAACCATGTCTTTCATTGCTTAGATTCTGGCCATTGTTACAGCCTTACAAAATGCATCTATGCAGACAATAATTTTAATGGACTAGAGAAATTATGACTTCAGTACTATTATTTCAAGACCCATGACTCCCCTTATAGAATTTTCTTTAGGGACAGACTGATTCTACCCTGCGTGTAAACCTTCTAGGCCAGCGTCCTGAAGTCATGGCACATATGTGGAAAGAACAGAGGCAGCTCAGGGAAGGGTAGTATTTCTATGAGGCACACAGGGAAAAGTCAGTGTGCTGGGCTTCACACCACACCTCCACGTGTCAAGTCTTCTTCAAATTCATAGTAAACGCAGACCAACGACACGTTTCCTGAAGCTCTCTGAAAGTCAGGTAAGGTGGGAGATCAGCAATGACAAGGGCAGTACGGTACCTTCCCAGGACGCACACTGTTCTCAAGTCTAAGCTGTTAGTTCTTAAAACTGCCAGAAAAATACTGGAAACTAAACCAGCTGATTACACAAGGTAGAATGATGTGTTAAAAGACAGGAAAACAAAATTAACAATCTTAGGGAAATAAGAGTATAATTCATCTGAAAGAGCAAACTGCACAGTTTCTAATGTTTTGGACTCTTTTCAACTTTGCTTTTTACCAAAATGTGTGTTCCCAATTTCTAGTCTAGGCCAGATTCAACTTGCAGATACCGCATTCTGTGATAAATTTGCCAGTTTAATTCAACAGCTCTCTACTTTCAATTATGGTTTCCTCTGAAGGTAATAAGGCTATGATCAACTCTCCCCCCGCCCCTTTCCCTCTCCCCCCCCCAGCAAAATGAACAGTTTAAAAGCATTCAATCCTTTTTCCCCCAGGCCATCAGCTTTTTTGTGTTCATCTCTGAACTCTCCTCAGCTGATCAGCACCCATTTTGAGCTGGGGACACCAGAACATTACAAGAATATGCCAGTGGCAGTCATATCAACGCAAAATAGAGGTAAACAAACCTTGCTCACTCCTGCTGGAAATTATGCTTTTTCAATCTTGCGGGGAGTGCATTAGTCCTACTGGCCACAGGGTTGCACTGGAAGCTCATATTCAGCTGACTGTCTCTGACCCCTAAATCCTTCTCAGAACCTGTGTCCCAGAAGGAAGCCCACTGTCCTACAAGCATGACTGAGATTCCTTCGTCATTATATAGCTGGACATATTGAAACACATATTCGTTGCTCATGCCCAGTATACCATGCAATTAAGATCACTCTGCACTCGTGGTCTACTATCTGGACCTTTTACCATGCCCCTAATCTCTCTACGTAAACCCTCTCAACAATTTTATGGGTTTTTTTGCTATTACAGAACTCCAATAGAATTAACTTTCAGTCATTTAAAAAAGGCCTCAGTTTATCTGCTGCTTAAAACATTTTGAAGGTACTGTTGAAATGTAAAGAAGTCATCATTTATGATATAATACGGCTACTTTTGTCCAGCACAAAATACAGGACAAGAAAATATATTGGAGATTTCCATCTATGACAAATAAAAATTCTACTATTGCATCCTGTAACAGCTTAACAGCAGGTAGTCAACACAGTAAAGAAAGTCTAACCATACTAAGCCAAAGATCTCGCTTTATCTTCTTTCACTGTGTCCAGTTATTTGCTATTCTAACTTGTCAGTATTCATTAGCAACTCCTTTCTTCCATTTGTTTTGATATTGATCTGGCTATTTCTCAAGCAGTTTCACTCCCCTTTACAGCAAGCTGTTGTTTTTCAGCGTTGGTGGTCTTCTTTCTCAAGTGTGGCTCTCTTATCTGAAATTATTTTCAGTTTTCATTCACATTTTCCTGTTAAAATACTGTCTATACTGCCTGTCCCTTAGCTCGCTCAGTTTTGTTATATTTATGCATTTAAAACATGAAGCCTGTATACTACTACTTTACGTAGTGGAGCAAAGAGAATAGATTGGTATTAAAGCGGGCATTGACTTATAGATGGTGATCAATTCTCTTTTATCTGCTAAAGCAAGGTTTAATACAGCACTTCCCTATGTTGAATGCAACATTTCCCAAATGAGAAAACAGTCATATATCATACTCCGAACTTCTACAGGGAATTTGCTGTTGGTTGCACAGGATCTTCAACATAGATCAGCTGGAATACCGTCTCTCAGCTCAAGTCTAAACTGTGCGTGAGAGAGCAGCCAAAGCAAAGTCCAGCCTCCTGGTTCTCCAGTCGTTTAGAGCACGAACACACTATCACTGTCCAGCTCCAATACCACGGTTCTCGTCTCATGAAAACAGATGGCAAGAGGGAGCTGTGAGTGCTGCCTGGGTGTTGTGCCATGGAGCTGGGATTGTTCAGAGCTAAAAGCTGGCAAGTGGTTTTCTGGGTTTGGCAATGCTGACTCAGCCTCAGATAACGCATCCTCTTCTTCCCCACCCATCCTCCACAAAGGCCTGCAAGTGTTTCAGAGGTGAGAGGGGTTTATCTAACGTGACCTGATGCTAACTGTACTGCTCTTTCTGCTGCATCACTGATTCACAAACACAGAAGGTTCTGTCAAAATAAATGTTCCCAGAATTTGGGAACATGCAGCACTGTATTTCTGTTAGTTCTAATGTAGATTCTCTTTCAAGGTATGAAAGCTGAGGTTTCAGCCTCTTGAAACAATTTCTCAGCATGTATTTAGAGAAATATAAAATGAGATGAGTAAGCGGTGTCCCTGCTCACTGCAGGGGGGTTGGACTAGATGACCTCTAGGGGTCCCTTCCAACCCAAAACATTCTATGATTCTAAGAAAGTACCACAGATTATAAATAGAATGAGTTTCTCTTCCTCAGCATGATCTGTGACTACCACAAGTTATGCCTACAAAACTGTACATATAAAATAACGATCCAGGTATTTTTTATAGCTATTTCATACCTTGGCATCCCCTATTTGCGATCTGCTGGAAACCATCTGGACAAGTGCATTTGTAAGACCCGTCAGTATTCATGCAGTTTCCTCCAAGGCAAGTATCACTGTCTTGAAGGCACTCATCAATATCTGAAACGAAAATGTAACTGAACTAGTAGATGATGTAAAAACTGATGAAACATTTAATAGCAATACTTTTTTACTAATGTAGCAACTCAAAGCTACAATGTCATTTAATAAGGGGGCGGGGGAATCAAGTTTACACTTTAGAATGTCCTTTTAATTTCTTTCATCTTATCATCAAACTTCTTGTATTTCTAGAGAGCTTTAAAATTTGAGTTTGCGTCATTTATTCTTAGCAAGCATGTCTAATATGTGCCATCTGCATCTCTCATAAACGGTATCATGACAGACCTTTACACCAATCTCTCCCCTACTGTAATGGTGACTGTGGTGTTACAGTAGTACTATTAACAAGAAAATCCAAGCAGCTGTACATTTAGAGGACAGACACAAAAAATGCCTGACTAATGCAAACATGTAGTTTGCAATATGCATCTTTGGACATGTTTAGACCACTACACAGATATCCCTGAGCCGGAAGTGACCCGATTCAGGCATTCCCCGGAGCACGGGCAAGCCCAGGCGTAGCTGGCGTGCCACACCAGACAATACATGCCTGCGGGGACTGCTCCCAAACCAACCACGTGGACAGGAGACTCGTAGGACAGGGACCACAGTGTGTGTACTGCTGTGCTATCGGTTGCTTTTCCAGAGGCAGTTCATGTGATGCGATACGGCCATTTCGCAGGCGTAGCTGAAGCTGGATAACTGCTTTTGTGCAGGGCTGCACCCAAGCCATGAACCCAGCTCCAGAGTCAGGGCGTGCAGGGTCTAGCCCCCAGCTGCCTGCACACCACGTTCCCAGCGCTGGCGTCTTGACGCCGCTGGGATAAAGGTGCTGGCTGACACAGAGCAGGGCAAGTTTCAGGATACAAACTGAATACAAAGTAATCAAATATTTAAAGAGGAGGACGCTGGCGCTGTCTCTACCTGAAGCCTTTTCTTTCACGAAGGAAACAGAGCTGCTGCGGGTACAGGATTAGCTCAGTAAATGCCTATGTTCCAGCGACATTATACAGTTTTGTTTTGCTACAGCTAAAGATCACAAAGTATTTCATGACTCTGCTTCTAGTTTTAAAAGAAAACAGAAAATGAGAGTCCAGTAGAAGAAGCGTCTCATAAGCGACTTTCCCTTGCCTCCACATTGCCCTTCCTCGTAATTCACTGAGTCTATTGCTCTGATAATGAAGACAAGTTTCCTTTGAAAAACAGTTATCAAAGAGTTTTTCCACTGCATTTGATTATTCTGACTTCTTAAGCATGGATTTTAGCCAGTTAGAATTGTAACTTTTTCCTGTGTTGCAGGAATAACAATTGTAATTAAAAAAGAGGATACGACCTCATTTCTACAGTTATCTCTGCAAAGCCCACACTCTAGCAGAGCGCAGCTATCCTTGGGATTTAATCTATTTGATAAAAAAAAAATCAGAAATAGGGATAGCTTTCTTACATAAATGAATGTTATTGCAGACAAAACTGCCTTTAATGCTGACAAAGTTGTGACCTTTTGATAACCACATGTTTTATAATAATTTTCAACTGAGAAATAAACTGTGGTTTATTTAAAACAGCAATTAATTTTGACTAGGAGCATGAGAAAAAATTAATGACTCCCTTGCGCTGAGTTAACGCCAAGCCGTACAACAAGAAGGCGCCTTCTGCCAAATGCAGTCAAAATGCATTATTTTCCATACAGGATGCAAACCTCCCTTCCTCTGATGCAACTCTTCATAGGTCCTATGGTTGCTGCACAAGAATCTCCAGAAACATCAGACACAGTAACTCATGCTTGATGTGTTCAGTGCTTTTTACCGGCCTTTACAGGTGCATGTCTAGAGCATTTTGGCTAGCAAAATCTCTGAAGGCTCCTAGGAGAACACTGGAGCCTCCCACGCTTCAGACGGTCTCTTTTCCAGTAACCCGAGTTCTTTGAGCTGTACAGTCAATACACAAGCCCAGCTGGTGCATATTCGTACTTCCTGTCAGTTGAGACAAGGCCAATACTTCATACCCACAGGTGTGCTCACACTTCGTGCTCCCTCATATTCAGAGCAACACAGAGCAGAAAGTCTCAATGTTGCTTCATCTCAAGAACAGGAGATGCTGAATGAGAGGGTAAGGCAGAAAGAAAACAAACGTGTGTGGTCATGCATCTTAAAGACTTCCACTAGGAAGTAACCTCTTTTTCTATGTTCAGGTGGAAGGTTGTGCATGCAAGCCCACCTGTGAACGGTCACATACTTCCAGGCCACTAATTTCCAAGCAGATAATACCAAGTCTCTAGAGGTCCTGCAGAAGTGAAAAGTTCTTCAGCCTTGGATAACAGGGTACACAGGCATTTACAATATGAATGGACATCTGGATTACGGCTCTCAGACAGATCTGAAGCTATGAAGGCCTCAGTCCAGCTTTCTCATCTTCCGAAGAGTTCAGTGCAAGGATGCATACAGAGCATGTGTACTCCATGTATACAGAACGATGATTTGCAAATTGCCTTTGCTCTTAAACAAGTGAAATACTGTGCGAAGACTTCCAGACAAAAAAACTTCTGCCAGAGTTGCAAAAAGCACAGCTGAAAATGAGCACAGCTTAATTCTGCCAAATTCTGCAATATCTCTAGAAGTTTGCACAAGCATACAATGATCAAATCAGCAAACTGCTTCTTGAGCTGCTACATTTTTAAGAATACTTCTGAAGTAGAAGACATCCCTACTAAATAAACAAGCGCATTTCTTGCAATTGACTTGCTAATCACATTGGCTTTACAGCCTGATACAAATTTGGATATCCTCTGATGTGACTCCATCCCTGAGTCTTTGAGAAACTGGACAGAATTTGAACAACTCTCTTCTTTTCACACAACTGCGCTGTGCTATACCCACAGTTTTTGTCATCTCTTTCCTGATTTCTCTGTGAAGTGTTACAAAACATTTGGATAAATAGGCTAGTCCGAAAATCAAAGGCCATCACGTGGAGAAATGCTTGATGCCTTCTCAAGGCCATTTTGTCTTTATGGAAGCTCTGCCCTGTAGTCCATGCACATCTCTGGCTGAACTAACAGTCAGGAGGAAAGCCATTTCACAAAGATGGGAACTTCAGGAGTTCATGAGGCTGAGGACCTCTGCTGATAAGAACGTAAGATTTAAACCTGTAGTCAACTGAATTGCCTAAATGTGCACCCAATAATTCAAGGAGCTTTCAAAAATAATTACATCACAAGGTGACAAAAACAAGAGGGGTGAATGTATAGAAGATAAAGCAGTTGCACAAAGCATTCTTACTGACAGCAGAACAAGCACAGTCTGTGCAAACTTTGTTTCCAAGGTGCAAAAAGCAGTCTGTCATATCCTGTACTTCAGAAAATATTGAAGGGATAGAATGAAAGCACAGAACAACTTCTTCCACTTCAAGAGATGAACAGATTTTGTGCAGAACTTTTAATGTTTATGAAAATCTTCAGAGAACAAACTGTTGCTACAGAAATTACTGGGTCACTGGGTGACAGCTGTACGCTTGGTTACAGGACCTTTGGAGTTAGACGAAGATCCTGAGGTGAGGCAACAGCTTTACTCCTTTTTCCTTGTGTGAGCCAATTCCTCCTCTTTTACTCTGAGAGCTGCTGAAATTATTTTTTCTTGAAAATTGTCCTTGAACAGGATCAAGGAAGAGAGGAAGATAAGGCATGGACCTGTCCTGACAGGCCATTGCGTAGTGACGGAGAGCAGTAACAATTACCACAACTTCTTGGGCTGTATGAAATGCACCAAAGCAGCCTGAAGAGAAGTTCTGGAAAACATTTGATCCTCAACTACAATGGATTTAAATTAATTTCTATATTTTGTTTGATCTTCTTCACTATGACATGGTTTAATTCACCATTTCATACGCTCACACACGCTAACAGCACTTACTAATTCAAAATATCTCTCTGCAGACTCGATGGTTTGTAAGGCTTCTTGCTGAAGGAACCAAAATGCTTGAAACATTTATGCATCCCACTCTCTCACCCTCTCCCTCTCTGCTATGCAGAGGAAAGAGAGAACCTTTTCTTGTTTAAGGTGGACAAGGTAAGAAGTCATAAATTAAACTGCAGCAATAGAAGATTACCATCAAACATTTGGGAAAAAAGAAAGTCTTAACACAAGGACAGCAAAGCACTGGCACAGGCTACTTGAAGAGATGTTTGGAATCTCATCTGCCAAAGCCTACTCAGAGCAGGTGAGATGAATACCTGTCAGGAATGACACCATATGGTCTGTTCTGCCTTTGGCAGGAGGAATGGACCACTGATCCCTTCCACCACATTTTTCTTTGATTCTTGACACAGTACCTCCGTATCTCCGCATCTGTGCGACTCATGAAGATGTTGAAGCCAGGTGAGAGGAAAATTCTTTGACACAAGTTTCTAGTGCCTTGCACCATCAGCCCACATTTCCTGAAGCTGCTGCAAGTGATGTTGGCTTTCACCAGGAACTCTGAGAAGATTGTGTTAAGTTATTCTATGACCAGATTCTCTAACAGTATTAAAGAGCATCTGTGTGTTGAGGAGATTTTATAAGATATCCTTATCTCTTGTTGATGAGAACTTCAAGAGATGCTGCCACTTGTTAACGTGGACAATCCAGTAACATCCCTGCTGATGAAGTCTGGTCTGATGTAACAGGTTTGTCTTGAGAAGACAGCATTTGGTTGGCTCAGGGGGAACTGCTCTTCTTCCTAGATCGCTTGAAGATGAGGATTCCTGACCTATTGCTGTGGGTGAGAAGGTGGGAACTGCCTCCCAGCGTGCTGCGTGGAGCCAGAGAACACTACTAGGTACAACAGCAGCAAGGAGCTGTGTCTTCCATGGTATCAGCAGCTACAGAAAGCACACCAGAGACCAGAAGGTTTTATGAGCTAATACCGCATGTACAGTGAGACCTTAACTGAGTCTTCCCCCTCTCCCCGGGTGAGATAAGGAAGCAACTGAGGTATAACCTTCTCTGGCGCTCGCTAGTAAGTAATCTCACATGCTGAAGGTGACCATGAGTAGCGCAGCAGATTTACCACATCAGGTGATATAGCCAATGATGGAGAAGAGGGAGTAGCTTTGAAATAATTCATTAGAAAAAAACCTGTTTGCCAATTACTGGACAATTAAATTGTTCTACTTGAAAGACAATAGATTGTTTCTGTTTTCTGTAACACAGCATTTCTCTCTGCATTTACTGTACATCTTTCACCTGTTATTTTTACAAGCTCAGTATGTAGACTGCTTTCTGAGACAGTGAGCTCCAGCAGAACCCCCTGGAGCTCATCTTTTACTACGTATTTCCTCCTGCCATGTGGGATTGTGGCAGCTGGCTACAGGTTCCCAAAAACAGCTGGAGAAGAAGTTTTAACTTAGCAGGCCCCCCTGTGAACAGCGTATGCTGGCAGAAGCTTTTGTAATACAGGACCTCTGTGTCAGAATTTGAGCAACAAGGTTTGGAAAGGATTAATTGCTTTCTGTAACAATGTCAAGTGCTCTTCCCAGCCTACTGTTGGAAACACATGTGCTGATTTCTTGTATGTGGAAAGGTGACAGGGACTATTTCTAAGAATCCATTAAATATGTGCTGTGTAGGTGGGGACTGCTGAATGGCTGACAGCAAAATATTGAGAAAGAAAGAGGAGCAACATATCCTTCTGCCCCATTCTCAAAAGAGTTCATGCCTATAGCTGAAATACTCAAGATCTTATTGAAAAAAAAATGGATCAGTAGCTTAAGTCCACAAGCTTACCTTCACACTGATCTCCAGTAGATGATAATGTGTAGCCTTGGCTACAAATACATCTGAAAGATCCTTCTGTGTTCCTGCAGCGTCCATTTGTACAGAGTGGTCGGTGTTGGCATTCATCTATATCTGTAGCAGAAGAGGCAGGGAAAACATAACACATCTGAAAATACCAATTACTAATCAAATGGCACGATAACCAATTCTGAACAAACCAGCAAAGCGGAGTGTCAATACCCAGTACTGCTTCTCTCGGTCTTATTTATTAACAAATGCAGACAGTCGATATAATGCATAAAAATACATGAAATTACAGATTGGATGTTCTCCTTGAGATGACTGCATTCAGCGTTCTCTCCTGTAGCGTCAATATATCCCTCAATGCACAAACAGGTACACCCCGACACACAAATACACACGCATTGCTGCTTGAGAGCTGCTTTTATTTCTTTTCTATCTGGCAAAGGTAACAAGCCAGCCGCTCCAGTGAGTCAGCAAAACCCACAAAATACTTTCCAGCAAGATCACCACCTCAGGGTGTGGTTTTCAGATGCACACTGACAGGCTGTTCCCCCGTTAAGCTGTACCTTAAGGCTCCTTTAAATACTTCCCTTGTAACAGTATTAATCCTCTAAGCATGGGGAAATGTCTCTTTGCTTCCACAACCACTGCTATCCCTCGGCGCTTCAGTTCTCATAAACTGGGGTCAGGCTGGGTTAACTGATGGGACTTGAACATCAAACTTAAATTTTCCTTCGAAAACCTCAAAATATTGGAGGGGAGTGGCACTTTGAATTCAGAACATAGCACATGTCTTGTTTGAGCTAGGAAACCTGTTTTCCCTCCCTTATTTACAAAATACTTGTTAAGGAACAGTAATTAAATTGATACGGTAAGGTTCTTAGTCACTTCTAGGATTTAGGCACGGCTGAATGTCTTTCTGAAAATATACTCCAGTTCAAACAGGAGAAAGTTGCTCAATGAGGTTTTTCAGGTCTGTGTTATGGCTACACAGCCTGACCTCTTGAGTAATGGTCCCTTGCGACCACAGAAGTTTTTAATTTAAGGATCACCGAAATCTGTGGGGCTGCATGAAGCATCTGGGCACGTGTACGGGTCCTTACTTTAGAAGGGTGCACTTTAAGAAGAACAGTCTGTACATGCCAGCTCGGCTTGGCAAGGGCCCTTTTCCATGAAAGGCTGAGAGGAAGCAGTCAAACTTTGTCTACATACTTTCCCCAAGACCAGTCTGCTGTGTGTCCTGGACAGCATTTAACTCACTCAAGACACTTAACTTACACTGATGTTTTGTTTCAAACTTCCTGACAAATTTACATGAACGATCATTTAGTTTTACTATATTATTTTTAGCACTCAGAAGTCTGAAAGTGTTTGGTGCTATACACAGACACTTAGGGAAGGGAGAAGATGAAAAAGCAATGTCTGACAAGAAATGTTCGGGTTTCTGCGTGCTGCCACAGCTTAGAGACATTCTCCCAGATGTTCACCTTTGGGGAGAGGTTTCAAGAAGTCCCATCTCCCTAAGGAGAGGGGTATTCATACCTCCTGTACACACTCTAGGTTCTCTCTCAGACCCCTCTGCTCTGACTTCAGAGCTAATTTTATTCCACTGGAGCAGTCCTGGTGGGAATTTGAGATGTGGAAGAAATGTAGAACCTGACGCTTCGGAGGTACAGGTGCCGTTCCTAGAAATATGACACCAAACTCTCTCTCTCCTAAATGTATTACTTGAAATGCAGTGACACCAGTGCAGGCATCAGCTCAGTGTTAACTGACACTGCTGGGTTCCAAGAGGGTGCAGCCTGGATTTTTTGATTCTACTCACCCACATGAAAGAAAAAAAAAAAAAAAAAAAAAAGATAAGATAGAAAGGCAATTACGGCAGCGAAAGTCTCTGTTCCCAAACCTCCAAAATGACAGAAATGCCAAGCATTTTGCAGAAATTCCTATTTAGTAATATAAATATTACTACACGTTATTGATTGGCTTTATAACAAATGTCAAAATCTACGATGTGAGCATGGAAGCCAGAAAGTGGAAATACATATTCGTACATTTTTGGTTATTTAGCTTCAATGTTGCACATTTGTTGTTTCTCCATAAAAGGAACATTATTAGATGAAATATATTATCTAAAGGGTAAGTGAACCCTTATGAATTTTAATCATGTTCTTTCCTACCTTCACACTGATCCTCTGATGCAGAGAGTTTGAAACCTTGGCCACAAATACATCTGAAAGACCCCTCCATATTTTCACAACGTCCATTTGTACAGAGATTGCCATACTGACATTCATCTATATCTGTGAATACAAAGAAAGCATAAGTGTACCATTAACTTGGGTACAACCATCCTTCAGCTGAGCCTGGGAATTTATTCAAATTCTGCCATAAGCATGGTTATAAAATCAGTTTTCCTGTACATTTTGACCTTGACTATTCTGCAGCAATTCTGATCGGAAAAAAAGATTTGAACTTGAGCTGCCTTGTGCTCAAACACTCAGCTATACTCAGACCCTGCATGACTAAAGCAATGCTTTCATCCCAGTACTGCAAGCACTGCAGTTTAGGCTAACAAAGCTTTTTCTTCCTTTTGCTTTTCTTCTTTTTAAGCAGGGGTTGCACTATGAACTAATTGTGTCCACATCATCCTTATCTGAATAAGATTATTTTGCCCGTCATTTTCCCACAGTAGCTTAAACCAGTGCAGCTTTAGTATAGAGGAGAGGTCAGCAAGTGCTGGCACATTCATTCTTGCATTACATGCATTTACTGTTAGGATACGTACCTGCGATAAAAGCACTAGCAGCTGCCAATACCTTGTAACCATTATCACTGATCCTTCCCCTATTGCAAGGAACAGTCCAGAAAAGCAGTCACAGCTCATGCTGGCAAGGCTGTGTTAGAAGCTCTTCTCTCTGAAACCATTTTTAAGACATGTGCTCTGGTCAGAATCCCCCAACCTGCTGCCTCTGCTCATTTACTTGGAGCTTATCTACAGGTGCGAGGGAACAGGCAGGTCCTCTCAGAAGCTAGAAGACACCTCAAGCACATTTTCTGCTATTGAGTTTTCACTGTTTTTTAAAGCTAGGTCGATTAATGTACAAGATTTAGAGGAGTTCTCTAGTGCATAACTAAAGACTCTACATGAAACACGTACACCTGAGACCTTCACAGATGACATTTTTCAAACAGACTTAAAGGAGTCAGGTTCTAAAGGACTTAGCTGACACCTGAGGACTTCCAAGGGGAGTTCCGTACTTCACGCAGGTCCCTTTGCAAGGCTACTCTATATAGGCAACAAAGAACTCCACTGAATTATGCTTTTATAACAAAAGTTTCAGAAGACAAATCTCTCTTCCTTTATTTACAGAAGGACTTGAAAGAAACTTTTTTTTTCTATAAGCTATCCCATAGACACCTACTGTCATCGTTCTCTAAAAGAAGGGTATTAACTAGATGGACCACTCTCTTTAGCCAACATGGAAATTTCTATGTTACTACTTAAGAATTATTTCCAAGAGTTCCTTCTGAATGCAACGTGTATAAATCGACAAAGAAAAAAGCAAACATATAAATAAATAACTAACATCTTTCATTATAAACCCAGCCAGAATTAATTCAGTATTCTAAAATGATCAATATTGTCTTTTTCCTAGGAGTGGTTTTCACTTAAAAAAATAAAGGGTTCACTTTCAAATTTTATTTATTTTGGGGATGTAGTTAACAGCAAGCAGATGACCCTGTTTGTACGGAAAAAGCTGTATTTTTTAGCTTCACTGATGCAGAAGAAGAATTACACCTCATTTGCTTTTATGTGCCCCAAATCATATTACTCCCAATTATCCTGCCTTTTGCCACCAAAAAGCACAGAAAATCTGTCAACATAAAAGAGTACAACTACTGATTATTTGCAGCACTTGAGCTGTTTAGGCAGCTGTAGCACATGGAGAGCTGGAAAAAGATTAGAGATCTGTAAATCATCATCATAGCTCTTATTAGCCATTGTGAATATCTGCAGTAATTATTTTCCTCATATATATTTATCATTCTTGGCTCTTCACAAGCTCCTGTACGATCTGGCTTTGACGAAGCCCATCTCTTCCCAGACACAAATGAAATCACCATTATTGTCCATATTTCAAATGACCTACAATTCTTGTTTCCTCACCTGAGCCTCTAACTGTGTAAATAAGACACCCTGTTGCAGCCTGGCCAAGAACACGAAGTGGCATCCTCCCATGAGATGACAGCACAGACCCACAGGTGCTCTGCTACGGCAGTTCAGTAGGCGATACTACTTACATCCTTCTGCAAGACTAAGTTCTCAGATCCCTACTGTTGCAAAATGTGCTCGCTCAACAAAACACAACCTTTGCTCTCAACGTATACGATCAATGCTCAAATTCAAGAATTTGTTAGAACACAGAGAACCTAACTCAGCATTCAGGCATGTGAACTTTCAACTGAATAACAAATCCGCTTCTTGTAGATTAATTTTCATCTACTTATCTTGTAGCCACTTGAAAACGAAGCCTGCAATATTATTTCTGGTATGTGGATGGGACTCAAAGATCAAGAGACTTTCGCATAAAGCCAGCAGAAAAGGCAAGAACAGAACTTAAATCTTCTGAGACAAAGTCCAGAGCTGTAACTCATTCTGTTGATGCTTCCTACAGTAGTGCTAGAGGTACACGGGTCAGCTCTGCTGATTTCTGTATCAGTTTTGAAATCTTCTGATGGGCTCCCTAATGCTGTACAAGCTGAATATTGTTAGTTAATAACATAGCTGCAAAGTCCACCACAGTGATAACCATAAGGATAAAGTGGTCTAGAAAGCTTTGTCAACCTAATTTTTTTCACTTAGAATCATAGAATCACTTTGGTTGGAAAAGACCTTTGAGATCATCGAGTCCAACCTTTAACCTAACCCTGCCATCCCACCACTAAACCCTAAAATCCCACTTATTCATCAATACACAGAAGCATGCTCTAGATTCATATACTACTTTATGGTCATTCTATATCATGATGTATCACTTTATTTGAATGTGCAAACGTGGAGAAAGAAAGATTAAAAACCCCATGATTGCAAGTAAACTTTTAAAAAATATTATTTCAAATAGTCCCTGTATGACACAAATGCACTGAGGGACCTAGGACAGTGGCAATTTCAAGACAATGAGGTGGCAGGGTGTGCAGGTCCCATTTTTAATTTCTTCCAGCATGCATTGGAAGAGCTATGGATGTCATCTATCTGGAATTCTGTAAGGCCTTTGACACGATCCCCCACAACATCCTTCTCTCTAAATTGGAGAGAGGTAGATTTAATGGGTGGACTGTTTGACGGATGAGGAATTGGTTGGATGGTCATATCCAGAGGGTAGTGGTCAACGGCTCAACGTCCAGATGGAGATGGGTGACAAATGGTGGCCTTCAGGGGTCTGTACTGGGACCAGTACTGTTTAATAGCTTCATCGGTGACACAAACAGGAGGATAGAGTTTTAAAGGTCCCTTCCAACCCTAACTATTCTATGATTCCATGATCTCACATTGGACATTCCCACCTAAGCTGCAGTTAAATCTATTCTACACAAGTCTGAAGTGAACCAATTGACTTGCCTTTATTAAACAACAGTAGCTATGTTCCTGGCTTTAAATCCTGGAAGATAACAACATCAGTAGCATCAAAGAGCCGTAGAATTGTTACACTATACTTCCTAGGGCATCAAGTACAGGCAGAGGAATGAGCAGAGGTAAAAAAAATTACTGAAAACAGCACTGGGAAAAAGTAGCAGAACTGCAACTGACCTAAACTAACAGCAGAAACAAATTCATGGAACAATGGACTTCAATACCCTTCACAGATAACTTGGGAAATATTTTCCTTTCCAGGGTATTTAAATTGTACCATATTGCAAAGCTACAGATTTAAGACAAACTTTGTCTGCATTACATTTTCTAAAATGTGTATAGCTCATTTCCAACATGACGTAAGTCTAGCATAAACAGAAAGTGAAGACCGATCACATCACTAATGATGTGAGTGAGACGTCTAGGCTTAGAACATTTCATAAAACAAAGGAAAAAGGGAAACTACAGGCAGTAATACGAGGAAAAAAAGCATAAGCAACTTGGAACCAAGACTTATCCCTTACATGGCAGTTTTGTTTATAAATCTGAGCAGAGCGGTGACTTTTTTTTTTTCCTCATTCTACTCCTACTACTCCTACTAACCTGGTTAGCAAGAAGGAAACAAATGAAAATTATGCCATGGCATTTTCAGCCAGGCTATTTTTATAAATAGGTATAGAAATCAAGCTTGATATCATGAAAGAACGCAAAATTAAATCAACTTTACATTTTCCAAATGAAGAATTAAATAAGAAGAAAGCTTTTCTTAACAGAGTGCATGTGCCACAGCCTTTGCAAGGGTAGCAAGATTCCAGTCAGGTGGGAAGGAGCAAAACAAAGATGAACATGAACGTGTGCTAAGTGAATGACATCAGTTTGCTGTAAACTTTCCATAGCTTGTTATAACTCTGTTAAAATCCATGAAATTACCTGAGAAATGCATTCCTCCACAATAAATCAAATGACAAGACCAAATAATGCAGCTATGCATACTGATAAATTGTAACAGGCAGATGTTCAGACAGAAATAATTTGCTACAATATGCCTTCATTAGAAAATAGGGTAGTTGAAAAAGGTGTCATCTGTACAGCAAAATCGGTGGTAAGGCTCTGACAGCTACACCATACATTTTTCAGGAGCTTCACTGCAACCTGGCTCTAGTCTTGCTCTACATCAAGAGCCCATCTGTGGCTGGAGCACAGTAAGTGCCCATCGTCCAGTGCTGTTTCAACCAAAACAGCGCTCTTGGACTGCTTCGTGAACTGAACCAAATCACAGCAATTGGGAGTGATTAGGAAATAAGCTATGGAAGTCCACTGCCAATCTGACCTACAGCAAATAATGCAAACACCTCCTATGTAGGTTATTATAGCCCTACGTTTACAACATGGTTACTCCAACCATCACAAATTATTGGTATGTATTACACACAGAGTGGTCAGGAGGATTCACAACAGGCAGCAAATCCTCCACAAATGAGGTCAAATTTAAGTTTCTGGTAGTGCCCAGGAAGTGGCACTCAAAATGGCAAAACATTATTTCTTTTTTGCACAATGGATTCATTTGCTCTTTCTTACCTATATCATAAATAGTCAAAACTGATTTAGGAAAAAAAAATAAATCTAATATTTAAAAACAAATTGACAAAACTATAATGTTAGAAATCTGTCCTAAAAACCTAACCTACAGCAAGACAAGCTCTTTTAAGATGTTCTGAATGTTTTGCTGGAAGTACAGATAATTCAGAAGTTTTATTAGTATGCTTTGTGAGCAAACTCCCATATCCTATTGAAAAGCCAGCCAGTCACACTGATGTGTTAGCATTCTCACGTTTCTTCCATTCATTAATACCTCCAAAGGCCTACCAGCATTTCACTGAGAATATATCCCTTTCAGTTTCCATACATTGTATTTCAAGATTTTTGTTTTGTAATTATAACTGTATTGCTTGTAGTCTGGATTCAATGTTCATTTATCTACAGTAAAACATGACTTCCTCACATATACTGTGTCTGAGAACATAAAGTAATTTCCAAAATCTCATCTTTCCAATTATTATTGAATGAAATGGGGACCGAGGGCACAGTGCTGTCATCAGGTTGTGACATTGATGGCACAGGAAATACAACATCTCGGAACCAGAACTATAACTGGAGACACAAAGAGTACGGAACATACCATGGCACTGTCCATTCCAGCCTCTGAATCCCACTCTGCAAGGAATGCACTGGTAAGAGCCAGGAGCATTAATGCACTGTGCATCTGGACAAGTAGTTGGAGTCAGGCATTCATCAATGTCTTCAAAAGAGAAGATAAAAGGAAATACCAGTCAAAGCCATAAAACACTGAAAAATAAACTAATCTGGTTATACTGACTGTGCTCACATTATACTAATACATTTAAAGAGTTGTGCACTTCATCTGTTAGAGACCCAGGAAGGTGCAAGTTTGCACATATTTGTACCAATGAAGGGGCATTTCTGAAAAATAAATTAGATCACAGTATATGTAACTGAATCTGAATTTTTCTGTTACACTGTGAATTTTGGTAGGCCCTCCATAACATACAGCAGATCAGATTTCTGGCTTAGACAGGTAAGAATAACTTTGCTTGTGTCACCCCTCTACCATATTGAAGTGTCCTGAGGCTCTTCCTATAGTCAGTCTCAAGAGACTTTGGAAGTGCATTGCAACAACAATAAAATTGTAGCTCTGGCTTCTCAAAGCAAAGAGGAATTTGGTATTCTCCAGTGTCCTAGAGTTATGCAGCATGTAAGTATTATGTGGACTAAAAATTTAATTGTATGAATATCAAAGATGTTTACAGGGAGTAGGGAGTTAATTACGTCTGAAAGAAGGCACAAGCAACACATGTCACAGAGGCTGGCAATGTTTAGGGTGATAGAAGGACTTGTTGCGTCAGGAGAGGTCCTAGTCTACCCATGACAAAACAAGAGATAGGCCCTGAAAAACTCATGGATCTCACATCCAGGCTCTGGGCATCTACCAAGAACTTCTTATCCTGCACCAAAGAAACCCACAATACATGCAATATATGCAATCTAAAAGAGACCGGATACAAAAATGACATTCAAAGACACATTGTTGTGAAGTGACCAATGTTCAGAGAATGCTGGAATTAAAACTGTGTGGGCAGCCCCTTTCCAGTCTGCTCCCATTCTTGAGTATCATTTTGTAATATGGTGTTTAATTACACAATAATTATAATCTTTCCTACCAAATATTTGCTTCATGCAGTGCACAGAACTAGTGAAATCAAAGTCACCTCTAAACCCAGCTTCCTAAACTCCTGTCCCTTCCCTGCCCCAAGCCTAGCAGTTGTGTCTTCTGCAACTAAGGACTGCTACTTCAGCACAGATAGCAGGGAGGCAATTAATTCCTAGTTTGGGGAACAAGCTCACGGAAGGAATGTAGCCTCCAACACTTATAATTTAACCTGGACAATGCTCCAGCCTTCAGAGAACTGAACAGCCCATCTCCAAACAACTCACGGGATGTGGGTAAATCACTATATTTCATAGAGCCGTCATTGTTCAGCTGAGACTACTTTCTCATTAAAAAAAAAGCAACAGGCCTCTTCAGCCACTACGATGCAGACTGCAAATGCTTCTCAGTGAAACTGCTGTGAGGCTTTTTTTTAAAAATTATTTAATGAACAAAAAAATCCACTTCTGATGAAACCTGTTCTCAGAACTGCCTGGACTGTAGCTACCCTCAAAACACACAACATGAACGATGTATTTGGTACAGAAATTTTCAGTCAAAATAAAGTCTACCTGCCGCAAAGTCCAACTGCTTCTTAACAAGAAGATTTTACAGGAATACTCAATCATATGCAATGCTACATATGCTCAATGCTACACCTGTAACACTATTCTACATAAACAACAGACGCTATAACAACAACATACAGGCACTCCAGGGCTAGGCCCACGACAGAGCTTGCATGAACGCAGCTTGAAGGCAGAATGAAGATGGGGTGAGGAAGGCTAAGTGAACTGTGTGCAACTTTGAGGCTTCTTGCCTTTGTTTTTGAAGCGGGGAGGAGACGGAAAGGAGTGGAATTTGTGGAATCTGGAATCTGTCAGTAGGGTGAGTGTAAGTGTAGGTGTAATCATTCCCTGAATGTGTCATTTCCTTGGTTTGATGGATTTAGTGTAGGAGGGTTTTTCCCTTAAGCAACCTTAAATAACTTTCAACAGAGAATTTGGTTTCAGAAATTACATATTTTTAAGTTAAATGATAGAGGACTACCACCACACTACTTAAAATACAAGCTAGTAAGAAATTTGATGCACTGTGATATTCTGATTTATAGCCTATTTATTTTAATCACAGATTCCCTATTGACAGAGAGGATTTAGAAAAAGTTGTAAGAGTGGAGTGAAACATTTATTTAAACAAACAAAAAAAATTGTCTGAATAGAAAGAGGAATCTTTCAGCAATGTTCAGAGCAGCAAATATATCCACAGCAGCTTTAAGTTGCTTATTTGCTAGGCAATGTAGCATGTTAGCAATTTTGTTCTGTCCTAAGTAACTTAGTCTAAAGCATGAACTCAACTCTGGTTAAAATGAAGTGGCTGCTTGTGGTTTTTAGTTCACAATTTAAGTTAAAAATGAAAAAAGACAAAAGAAAAAAAGGCAAAAATATCACACTGAAAAATAATGTCAAGTTTTGAAGGTCAGTTGTCCTAGGATCTCCTGCAACATTAAATACCTACTAGATAAAATATTTCTAAATTAAAAAAAAGTCAACTTATCATTTGCTACCTGTTACAATATAGGAAATTTTTTTTTTTTTTTTTGAAACAGGAACTTGGTAAAGTATGCAGGGAAGGACTAACAATGAAGTTAAGAGATTCCATGGTGAGAGCTGGTAAAATAGCTGTCCCGAGATGATTCGGGGGGGGAACTCCTTTTCAGCATCTTAAATCTAAATAATAGGAATTGCATTGCAGTTCCAGACATCAAATAACTGAAAAGATTGGAAAGTACTCAAAAAGGTTTCTTGCTTAAGACTGCACCCGATGAGAATTCTCGCTTTGCAGCTCAAGCCACGCTGCTAAGCCTCCCTTGAAGAGCGGGCAATGTTAATCATTCCAAAGAGAAAGAGCGGTTAACATTTCACATTGTTTTTGTGATAAGAATAAATGATCACTTAATCATCCAGGACATACCATAGATAAAACAAGCAATGTCCTTTTGAACATTCTGCCATTTTCAGCTGGGGTACAGGGGTAAGTTAAGTGATCTGAAGGCAAATTAAATGAAGAAAGTAGCTGTGAGAGAAACCCACCAGTAAAATTAAGCTGGAGAAATTACCCATGGAAATAAGTACAGAGTGGGATGGGGAAAGGGAATTCTGAACACAAATAGATATAAAACCACTGTGTCAAGACATTCCATCTGAATTCAAATAACAGATGGAGACTGAAAGTAATTAAAAGAAATATACCAGGTAGAAAAATATTAAGTTAAACATGAAATACCTATGTTCACTTATTTTAATATTTCCATCTAATGGCCAGATTTCTTAAAAAATAAAGAAATAGATATGAAGTTTTCCATTGAGATCAGAAACAGCAGTCAATGCAAACAAATGGCTCTTCCTATTGCAGTTATTTGGTTTGGCAACTGTTACTGTATGAAGAGAACAATTACTGGCGAAGAGTCCAAACCTACCTTCACATTCACCTCTCCTGTTCATTTGGTATCCACTATCACAATATTCACATCTGTATGAGCCAACAGTATTTACACAAAAGCCTTCCCCGCAAGTATGAGGTCTTGAACACTCATCAAAATCTGCAGATGAAAAAGAGAAGAGAAACTTTCCTTCATTAAGAAATTACTGAATTCTTGCATCTCCCCTAAACTATGCTTTAATTGACCATAAGGAAGTTTGGATTTTCAAGCTGTTTGCAAGCCACAGCCCTACAGCTGTTCTTACTGAGCAGTTCCATCTTAAGCTCACTGCTTGTAATCACAGGCAGAAACAACCAGACTGTAGGAAGACAGAGAGTGAGCAGCCCTGTGGCTGCAAACCCAATGCGTGTCACTGCATGCATATTGCACCCAAGGCAGTGCTAACCTGAGGAAGATCACAGCCAATTCAGGCTGCTTGTTCTGCTCTGCAAAGTCTGTGGCTGTTTGCAGCTATATTTAAAAAATACGGTTTGTGCAGCTGCTAGTGATTGAAAGTTTTGAATATTTGTATTTTTCCACCACAGAAGGTGTTCTTACTAAATGGTAATTTTCCTAAACAATCATGATACTGAATGAATTCTTGCTTTTCAACAAACAGTAATTTTGAAAATGAGTAGGAGCTACTCAAATATTTTCCTCACCACAATACCTGGTGAGACACAGTGAAATACATTTTCAGACATCAGTCCAGTACCAGTGACATTGAGGAAAAAAACTGAAAAGGGGGCTTAGGGGGGTTTTAGATAAGCTTCTGGGTTCATTTTTATATTTTTATTTTCTATAAAGGAAACCAGCAATTACCAACGCAGTCAGTTCCATCTTCACTGGCCATGAATCCAGCTTGGCAAATACATAGGAAACTTCCTTCTGTATTTTCACAGCGTCCAAGGGAACAGAGATGGGGTGCCTGATTACACTCATTAATATCTATAAAAGAAATAAACCCATAAGACTATAGAATAACATATTTTAGTTGTGATTCTTTTTGTGCATTCTATGCTATGGTTTTGAAAACAATGATCTTGTAATTATTTTAACTATTTGAAAAAGTATACGTTCCCCTCTCCCTCAGAGCTGCAAAAAAAGATGCATTGCATAGTTTTGGTTGGAAAAACATGCTCATATTGGCTTAAGACTATTAAGAGTATTGCATTGGCCTGAAGAATGTCACATGATTACTATTCAAATCACTGCACCGAGTGCAAGTTGAGCACAAGCTGCAAGCATGGAACATTAACACAATTTGGATGAAATAGAAGGATTTTAAGTTGCCATTTGGCTGTGTATGCGTGTAAATTTTTTTTTAATACTGTAGTTGCACCTGATAGCATGCATATGAGTGTGAAGTTGCTGAACTTTTGGTAGCATGAAAAGCTGATAGGATATAATCTGGCAACATGATATGATAAACTCTTTCTGATCCAAGTTACAGAGGAACCAGCATACTCTGAATGAAGGAAAGATACAGATACAGCTGCTTCCAAATCTGTAACAGCGCACACAGAGTCAGTCTGAGCGCCGCCTCATGTTCATCAGAGCCCTCTGTTTCAGAACTTACTAGCTTTGAAGGGATGAAGACCGCACTGTGCAGATCTCCTAATGTGCTTCTGGGATATTTACGATGTACGTTCTCTTTTCAGCAGAAGGTTGAAAGGAAAGACCTAACAAAATGACTGATTTAGTCCAGCTGCAGAGCTGGTAGCTGGGCAATCATTCTGAGAAACAGGCACTAATTCGGTCATTCTTTCTCTGAACAGAAGTGTATTTCTCCCCGGCAGTCTGACAATTTTAGATACCTGATAGAAAGCCAAGAAGAGGTTGTCTGTCTAATCAGTTTTTCTCTCATCTCATAAAGGGAAACATTTTCATTCAATTTAATTAAATTCACGTTCAGTTCTGAGCAGCTGAAAGGCTCTATCAGAGACTAGCTGGCAAATTTTATTTGACATACAAAAACCAGTTTCTGTGTAGTTTGGAAGCATTCAGTGGAGGAAGCAACTCCTGACTGCACTGTAGCATATTTCTGCTGACCAGACTCTCCATTTCAAGCATTTCATAGCATAGTTATTTCAGATTTTTGAAAGCGTCCATTCATACCAGAGCACTTTGTCTGCTGATCGTTAAGTCTGTACCCCTCGTAGCAGATGCAAGTGTATCCCACAGGCAAATTAACACAGTGTCCTGCTCCACAGATATCGGGATTAACTGTACATTCGTTGATTTCTAAGCAAACAAATAAGAAGTTTAAGGTTAAACTCTCCCACGTAGTTCAGTTAATGTACAATATTCTGCAATCCAAGTAGAAAGATCAGGCCTGAAAACAACTTTAAATCAAGTTTGTAAGTCCTGAGTTTCCGTAATGGATACCTTATCTGGAAGAATCTAAAAACCATCTAGGCTTTTCCTAGTAATATATTCTCATGTCCCATCCAAGATCTATAAATGGGTACATAAAACATAAAGTAAAATGAAGATAATATAAAATAAAAAATTATAGTATTTAACTTCTGCATTGAAGATTAAAAAATAACTGTAGTGCGTTTCTCACTATTTTTACAGAATACTCATCTGTTAATGGCTTGGATGTACTTTGTAAGATAAGGAGATTCAGATATGCACAACACTGGATGCTAAACCCTTACAGTAGTTTTAGAAATTTTCAAAGTATACATGTTATTGCAAAAACCACTAATGACTCTGTCTAGTTGCAATTTAAACTAAGGTTACACAGCAGCATGAAATTGTGATTCGGGAAGAAAAGCAGAATCATTTATCCAGACTATTTAGAAATAGGTTACATTTAAATTTAACTAAATCTTAAAGTACAGAATTAAGGCACTCAAAACCAGATCAACTCTAACTGCATTCGGTTTTTTAAATCAAATTTAGGATTTTGTCCTACAAATCTTATTTCACTTGTACTTTACTATCTCTTAAATATTTGAACAACAGATTGATTTAATTGTTTATGGCATAGAGCAATTTCTCATTCCACTTTTTTTCCTGAGGAAAGAAAAGCCGGCAGAACATGGAAAACTACCATTTTTTTTTTCTAACTGATGTAAGTTCCCAGCAGGGTAACTTCCTCTCCTTGTAGGGAGGCAGGGAGTTATCTGGCAGAAGGGGCATAATCACAGCAGAGCTGACTTCCAAATTCTGGCTTGACAATCACCAGTAGTAGAACTTTCATATAGGATTGACAAACTGTAATTATAGGTAATTGAGGGAGGCAGCTGAATGTGAAGGACAGGATACTTTCTCTACTCCTACACAGTAGATTCAGGAGGATTTAACTGCAGGCAGAATCGTACTTCAAACAACCAGTGATTTACACCCTATGCATACTGCATGCAACTCAAAAATCCATTCCTGCATGAAGCAAAGCCGTCTTTGAAGAGCTAAAGTTTTATTAAAGCATGGGCAATTTTCCCTGTGAATGCAAACTGGGAAACCTTTTGGTAGGCCTAGATATCTCTTCCATATGCAATACTGCATCTCAAAGTATTTACCTGGATATTGCAATACTTCAAAGCCTGTGTTAAATCTGAGAGACTAGCCAATGTGACATTGTAATGCTCTCCTGTATACACACGTAGTACATTCACATTTTTGTTTTCAAATGTACAGCAAGTGAAATTTTCATGCCTTTTGGACACAGCCATCACTTGGAAAAGTTTCAGCTGTAACAGAAGCATTACTTGCATTTCTGTTATTTTCACTTCTTGACACATGGATGTAAAAAAGACAACTTTAAGACATCAAAAAAGGAAGAAGCACAAACATCAAAAGAACATTTCAAAATAGACCTTACAATAACTCCTCATCTGCTTTTTGGAGAACACTGTGATCTACATCCCATGAAGTCTACATCCCTCAAAGGACACGATCACATATACTTCATGAACTCATTTGCAGGCTCTCTAAAGATCTGACTTTTAGCCAAGAAGTCTTCAGTTCTGGACTTTGGTTGCAGATCATGTAATCTGAGGTGGAATTACTAGTTTTTCCTTGTATCGTTTATTTGTGGGCACAAAAATGGCACGTACATCCTGGGAGGGTCCAGTCCTAACTCTGTTGACTGTACCCTCATTGCTGTGCTGTTCTGTACTTTCGATCTCTCCCCAGAGTATTCCTTTCTGTTCTACAGCTACATTCTCTTTGCTATTATAATTCAGAAGTAGCATGGAACAAGTTATAGTGTCAGGAACTCACAGTCATTTCTTAATTTATTTTAGTTCTAAAAAGGAAGTACAATACCTGTAACTTGAGTAGGTGCAATTACTTGACTTGCACTCGAAGTAGAGACTTCAGGAGCAACTTCAACAGGCAGAGGAGGAGATGTTTTCTCAATCACTACTGTGTGACATGGAATGGAAATCAATCACATCCAAAAAAACCCCCTTAAAGCATTCAAAAAAAACCTGCCTAAAGAACTCACACATGATACTGAATGAGCAAGACACTGGAGCTTTTCATTAGTTTACTCTGCTTATATCTGGAGTAGAAAAAAATCGTATAATAGTGTTTTCTGTCATTCTACTGCTTGTGAAAAACCTGAGCTGCTAAAGAAAGCAAGCACAATAGTATGATTCTCCCCGCCCTGTATTCTACTTGTGGAAAAATTGCTTGTGAAACCACAATTAATTTTTCATCAACCTCTGTTACAATTGCTACCTCCCCATTCATTAAAGAACTGTAGGCATACTCTCATACTATAAGACAAGTCAAAACAATTTACCTGGAAACTGTGGATGCAGGTTAATTGTTGAAATTCCAGGAGAAAGCTGAGGCTGCCCAGGCTCTAGATCAGGCTGCTTTTCTTGATCAAGGGAAGCTAATTCCTAAAAGAATGATTAAAAATTTACATTCTGAAAAATTCTCTTAATTCAGCTATCATAACAACCCACAAAATCCTGGCTCGAGAAGCTGCTAACATTCTCACATGAGTGGCTTTTGATAGCAGATCATTAATTACTATCAACTTAAGCCTGAAAGAACATGGAATACTATGTTTAGACAATGGCATACAATTTAACATTGATTTTATTTGAAGCAGCCATTTTGTGGAGCTTCTAATTGTATCTTTGGTTTTGTCTCTCCATAGTTCTCCCATCCTTTGGTCTTTAATTGCTTACAAATAGTATTTAATTACAATTCAGCATCACACAAAAGTATACAATAACATATGTCTCTAAGTCTTTGACCAGCGTGAAAGGTTCTCTCCGCTATTGCACTGACCATCTTTTTTTTTTTTTTATGAAAGTGTAAGATGCTTGTAAGTCTAAGAAAATAAAATGAAGCACACCTGCAGTTATTCCCAATAAATCCCATTATCTTCAACATAAGAGAACCTGGAACCTGCAGAACAGGGGACTTAACACAGATGCACACCTGCTCTTCTCCACTGAATACACAGTGACCCTAAAAAATCCTAGGAAACTAACTGGCATTAATATGAGTCTCTTAAGCAGGTGTCACAAGCGGTTTTCAAAGCTTCATACTGTTTCTCCCCAACTCGTTTTCTCTAGCTGTCAGTATTTGTGGCTCTGCTTCATACTGTCTGCATTTTTCAACCTCCTCTTTAAAATACAGGCTCCAGAACAGGTAGAACAATATAGTACCAGACCTTCCACCGGTGCCCTAAAGAGAGATTGAAGTAATCTCTTTCCTGTACCTCACTACCTGCCTGTTGCTGTACATTGTAATAACGAGCTCTTTTCGCCTCAGGGTTTGCACTGTAAGTCCACAGTGAGTTATTTGTTTCTCACAAATCCTAAATCCTTTTCAGAGTTAGCGTATCACATCTTGTACATGTGGTCTGCATTCTAATTCCTAGATAAATCACATCATGTTTTACCTGATCAGGGGCTGCAGTTGCCACTAAAACCAGAAAGAGAAAAGAAAATTAATCAGTCTTCACATAACATTTACTTACACATTCTACCTAAAACTACTAGCACATTTGAAAGTGGTTGTCGCCATCGCAGAAAAAATTCAAACTCTAACCTCATTCCAAAATGGTGCAAACTTGAAGTAATGTTCCTGAAGCAAGCGTAAAAACTAACTTGAAACCAGAATAAGCTTCTACACACTGGCCAATGTTTGTAATGATTTATTCAGTATTCAGCTGCCTTATAGGTTTCTCAATTGTTCCCTTAGAAACAATCCAAGAAACCCACAGGCTATTAACTCACTGATTAAACTTTTTAATTCCTTCCAAGGAATGTCAACATCTGTAATTATTTTAGAGGTGAATTAATATCATAACGGTATATAATCAACCATTAACAAATTTGCAAGAATTTACTGAAAAAAATCAAGTTTTGAAATTTGCCTTTTCTTTAAGGAAGCAAAAGTGGTTTGGAGGTTCTTTTCCTCCACAAAAGTGACTTTTTTTCTGGGAAGGAGAGATATACCCTTTTATAAATTTTCATTTTTCCATTGCAGTTTGCCTTTTTTCAATTGTCTTTCACTGATGAAAATCTATATGCTTCTGTAAAAACCTGTAAGAATATTTTTCTTTTCACAATCAACATTTTCCAAAGGATAGATTTAAAAAAAAAAAAAAAAAAAAAAAAGCAGGGAGTTTTACACAGCTATGAAAAAAAAAAAAAAAAAAAAAAAAAAAAATCATTCTTCTCACTCAAGTTTCTTCAGTTTTGGCAGAAAGGCTGATTATCAGAACTGGAAGAACTTCTAATAAAATCTCAAAAATTCCAAATGCAAACATATCCAAAAATGGAATATACAATTCAAACGTGTATGTGTCACTACTGACTTAGAGTACGCATATGTTTTAAAGTTTTTTATTTAGAAAAAAGCAATACTCCTTTCTTCTCCAGATTCTCTGTGTTTGAAGATTTACTAGACTGTGGCAATCTTTCTAATTACTGAACTAGTATTTTAACAAATGATACACCACCTTTTTCCACTTTGTAACATAGAAAAGCCCAGAGTTTTACGTGAGATTCTATGATCCAGCACAGTCTGTAAGTATATTTTATTTTTCTCTCCAGATTCAGTCTAGCTCCATTTTCTTTTTGAAAGGAAAACTAGAGCAGTGATTTTAACTGGAAAGTAACCCATGTCGCACAGAGTTATGCAAAGTCAGCTGACTGAAACTCTTTCTAAGAATGGCCTGCTACACAGATACAGAACTGCTACTCAGAAATAACCTATTAAGTACTAAAAATCATGAGAGGGTTCTTCAGCAATGTATTTCTTCTTGTCTACAATTAGTTCAGGCCAAGTTTGCTGGCAATGTATTTATAATAGTGCTGCTTTCTGCATTTCTTTGCTTCTGCAAATTTGTTTTAGACTCAGGAAAATTTCAGCTGCTACAAGTTCTTAGAAGAGCTTTCAGAAAACAAAGTCTGAGAAAAATACCTTAGAAGAGTCAACTAACTAATCATTAAGCAGCCCAGCAGAGAGGGGCTGATCCAACATGGTCATGCACAGCTCCAGGGGTGAGAGCAGACCACATGAAGAGGATGCATGTCCACATCAGGTGGTACAAATCTACAGGAGCTTATAGAAGGAAGATGATGAAAACCCCTTAGCCTCTGCTACCCCAAATACAGTAAATTGAAGCCCGATTTGAGTCCTTTGTTATGTATTAGAGATTATATCTTTATAAAAGTCTTAAACCAAATATTTCTTATCATAAAAATTAATGAGATTAAAGCAGTATCTCTCTCTCCATGGTGTTCCCAGCATCTGGTAGGAGCTACAGATAAATTTTCAGAAGTAAATCGTGTAACACATTATACTCCACAATGGAATGCTCTGCTGTGGGAAGTGACGCCTCTTTGGCCTGCACTGTACGCAGCTACTCCACAAAGAAACATACCATTGAAGACACATGCATAGAAATATAGAAAGACTAAATTTTCCCACTCTCACCTTCTTGCACAGCCATCTCAGTCTCACTTTTCTGTGAGAAGGTCAGTGCCTCCACTGGCTCTTCCTTTGCTGGGAGAGGTGGAGAAGTACCTTTAGCAACAGGCTGAGTAATCGGGGTCTTGCCAATGACAGGTGGCTGTACTCTAACTGCAGGGTGATGATATAGCTTGTTTCTGTGAGGGCCAGAAACCGTATAACCCATTCCACCAGGGCAGATTTCCTTAAAAGCAGCTAGATTTGGGATGGGAAAATATTCCTTTTAGGAGTCTAAAAGTGCAATATGTTGACATAGTGGAAAATATAATGACTACCACTAATAAATTTAATCTCGTATTGTATATACATTTTTACAAAAAAATATTTAAAGACAAGCTATGCATTGCATGCTAATATGACTGAGCATTCTCCTAAAAGCATGTTCTGGCTGTTATTCCTAGGAAGTTTCCACTCCGGTTTACGATCTTTCTTCAGTTATGTTTTATCTATCATTGTATCAAGATAACTTTTTGTATTAATCCTCTTCAAACACTATATCCTTTCTGAATATGAATTTAAATATGCAAATTATCATCATCATCTACATTGCGTAAGGAATGAAGATCACTACCATTCTCTCTTTTTGCCAAAACCAAAGGAATAATGCTCACCACCCTGTACTAGAGGAGCAGACGAATATCAACCAGTAACAACATTCATTCCCAGGATCCCATTTGACTACATCAGAGGTCTCACACCAGCCCTGATCCAAATTCGACTGAATTGAGTAAGTCTTTCCACTGACCTCAGTGGGCTGGATAAAAACAAGATGGGAATCATAAAAAGCCAAATCACCACTGGAAGAGAGGGGAAATAATCTCATTTATAAAGCTGCTACAGAAAAAGGTAATGAAAGTCAGGCAGCAGCACCTGCTCTGATCTCTGCAGCTGCTCTACATGAGCATCAGGTTTTGCAGTCCTAGTGGAAGACTAGAATGAAAAAGAAATACAGGTCAGCCTTCCTCCCCATTAAAGATAATAGCTATGCTCCTGTCAGGGACAGGGAGACCTTCAGGAGTCTTGAGGAGAGAGTGCTTCATTGTCCTCATTGCTCTAGGTAAAGCTATGTTGGGAAGAAACACCAAAGATTCAGTCTCCCATGTGCCTGATGTGATGTCTTACAGCTTCCTAAGAGATGTGCTGAGTGGGACATTGATAAGTTTACAAATTCTGCTTTGAACACATCAGGGTTTTAAAATGAGTTAGCATCTAAAATAAAACCAGAAAATACTAGCTCTAGGTACTCCACAGATTAATTCATTAAACTGCAGTGTGCATTAATTACATACTGTGTTCTGATGGTAATAGAACACAGTAATAGAAAAGATGAAGGATCAAACTGATTAAATTAAGTGAAATACACTTTGTTGGGAAATGCTAATATCAAAACTTGCCACAAAAATACCCAAACTGAGGGTGGAAATTCTGATCAAAGGAGGAAGACCGAGAAAATTTGATGGTCCCTTCAGATGCATACTTGGGATGTAGGAAATCTTGTTTCAAGTCATATTCTCTCAAAAGCTGAATAGAAATGTTAGCCTTATGCTACCACAGCTCTGCTAAGTGCTCTCAACACCTGGGTATACAAAGCTGGCCTATTTTGTACAACTATTTTAAAAGCCATCAGAGAGTGAGATCACGACTTTTTAATTCAATTACTCTTAAATTAAGATGGGATGCTACAGTACATACATTACCCCATTCTGGAGTATCCCACTTTCACACATTTTTCATAGAAAACTCTGAAAGATTATGAATTTTACCTGTTACAGAAAGGAACATGTTTTTAAATCATGAAAGTTGTCATGAAATGGGAAAAGTGTTTCCCACACAGCTCATCAGAATTTTCTACTCACAAATATTCTCTCCGAAGTCTTTTCATTAAGAAAAATCACTAAAATAACTAATTCCACATAATATTCAATGATGTACTTTTTATGACTAGAGAGCAGTCAACTTTGCAAAAAGACATATTCTCTGCTCCAGAATGCACACAAGTGGGCATAAAGCCTCATGCAATGTTCTCATAGATTTAAAGCATCTGCATTCAAATTGCAAGTCATCTGATGAGAATAGACTTTTTTCTCCATTAAAAAGACATAGGAATATTATTTATCTGAAAGTGAACTGGACTTTTAAAATCCTAATCAGTGGTCTAGGAACTCAGTGGTCACACAGGAAACAATGGCTTTAAAAGTCAATTTAAATGCTCAAAAATGTTGGTCACTCTCATTTCTGTAAGCCCAACTCAAAAAAGGAATCTGCTGCTCTCATCATGTCTCTGATGCTAGCTGTGGATCTCCAAAAGCAGCTAGCTAATTTTGAAAATCTGAATCTTTATAAAATACTCCAGAGAAATATATGACCTGTATCATAACGGTGACATCTGCAGCAGCAGCTTCAGCAAGAAGTGGATTACCATTACAAATACCTGTGCTAAAATACTGAACAGCGTGTACATCCTGTATATTACAATAAGCAATGATGCTTTCAAAAAAGATTAATTTGGCCATACATTTGGACTAAAAAAAATATTCGATTGATTTTTACTAAAGACTCCAACTTTGGTCATTTAAGTTTTAAGCAAAATCGAGGAATACAAGGTACTCAAAAGCAGTGATCAGTGTCTGTAATATGTGGTATCTTAATCTATGAGCAGCCTAAATGAAGGTAGTGACCAACCAAGCTAGGATTTTCCAAATCCTCATGCATTTAGAAAACAAGCAGGACTCCAGCTGAACACTGATTATACAAGTGAGCTTTATGTGTCAAGTAAGGAATTAAATGAGAGGTGGCATGAAATGTTTAACTACCAGTTTATTGCTAAAAAGGCAACACCATACTTGGCACATTCCTCAAAAAGGATGGCAAAGATATGAAGGAAGGTTAGAAAGCAGAGATACTCCCGTACATATCTCACTAACTGTAATGTTAACTACAACACGAAGTTCTGTAACCTAATTCTCAGAAGTTGTCATCCTTTCACTGGTGCCTTTAACAACTGTAGAGTATTAATTAGATTTTGGGTTAATTTGCCTGTATCTATAGTCAGAATATAATGTACAATAAATTCGTCTTCATATGATGGAAAATAAAAGTTCAAGCAAATTTTCTGAGATGCAAATATTGTTAATCTGGAATTATATCACAAGATATCAAAGATAATTCCTTTGTTTTAATCAAATCCCTATAAAAAATACTATATATGTGATTATTCTACTCTCATGTAGAGAACTCTCCTAATTTACTGATGAACACTTCTTGTTTAAAATAAATTCTTGGATTATTTTTTTTTTTTAAATGGGGGGGCAAGAGCTTTTATTTTGAATGGGCAGTTCTTACCTGTTCCTGGAAGCGGACACTTCTCACAGTGTGGGCCCCAGGCTTTGCCAACACTGCAACAGCAAAGTTGCTTGCTGAGCTGAACAGAAAGAGGATGCATGCATTGTTTTCCTGCACTAACAAACCGGTAGCAGGGTCCTTTTTCTTCAGCAACTACAGGATTATCAGCTGCAATGAAAGTGGAAGAGAGGATGGTACTGTTCACATGAAAAGCAAAACAGAGAAATGCAACTAGATTTCCAACACCAGTTAAATGGATTAATATTATCTGTACAAGTTTTGTTTCAAAAACCTATCTCAAGACATAATCACAACATAAAAGAAAATTCTTATTTTGCATCAAATACTCCTAATTCTAACTAATGCTAGACCAAGGATAAGAAGTGTTTTAAGGAAAAAAAATAAATCCAAACGGGCAGTTGCCACGCTGCCACAATAAACAGTCAGAATCAGCTCTCACTTGTACACAAGTGCAACTGCTGAAGACTAAGGTTGGTCACTAGCAATTCACAGTTGTGTCAAACTACATAGCCACTGGAACTTCCACCTATAAGTAGGCTATATAAATAAAACTGCAAAAGGATTAAGTATCACACATGATATGTTTTTTATAAAAGAGACAATTACATATTTACATTTTGTTATGCTTAGATTTAATGTAGAAGAGTCAAAGGCCATAAACTATGACTACTATGAGGTAGCAGGAAGCTAAGATCCCTCCAGCTTTCTAATTTATGCATCCACATTCACATACAGTTAACGGTTCTGCGTAATATGTTCACTTAACTCAAAAAAATACAAAGACTATCTGATTTTCAACATGACATGTAAAAGCAAAACTGAAAACCAATTCCTTTTTTCTGGTGTTAAACTGAAAAGTGATAAGAAGTTCTTCAAAATGCTGACAAACTCTCAGTAAGAGTGTTGTTACCTAGTAGCACAATATAATTCTGCTGAAAAAATGAAAGAATTCACCTGCAGACTGTATCGTATAAATCTAAAGATAGCTCAGGTAAGGAGCTTAAGAAATGAGGTATTTTTCACACGTAAATATTCTTCCAAAAAAACTTAAAGTGAGAAATGTAGCTGCTCTCCATGCCTTCTTTTCTTCTTGCAGAAGTAGTTGATCTCAAACCAAGTAAAAGCTGATTAAAAGGAAAATATTTGCATTCATGCTGTTCACAACTTTTTCTTTCTCCTAATACTTTCTTAATTTTAATCCTTCTTAATCAGAAAGAAAATGTGCCAAAGACCATCCTGGGCTGAATGTTTAGTAATGGAAACTACCCAGGTCAAAGCTGCAGAGGTGGGAGAGGGGAGGGCAGGACACAGAGATGATTTTGGCTGGGGAACTAGAAGAGAGGGGGGAAAAAAAATGTGGGAAGGAGAACTCTAGGCTGGTAAGAAAGAGCGAGTCTATGAGGAGGCTGGATGTGGCTTTGAAGGTTTTGTGACAAGAAAAGCAGGAAAAGACGGCAAGGATCCTGGACAGCTACTGGTACAAAGAGACAGAAAAGAGGTACGAGCACTGAGACTGACTAAATAAAGTGAATAAGCTGAGAAGAGGAGGCAGGGATAGAAAAAAAACCAGGGACAGCTTAGAAGAGTTGGGGCCAGTCAAATAAATCCTTATCTAAAGTGCAACTAAGTTATTTATTTTGGTACTTTGATTAGCACCATTACTTACGTATGCATCTTGAGAGAGTAGGATCTGGCACAAATCCCATTTTGCAGGTACATCTGTAGCTGCCCATGGTATTCAAGCACTCACCATTAGGGCATACTCCCTGTAACTGACACTCATTGATGTCTGCGGAAAAATTGAAAAGAATCAGATACTGATTATATAATCAGATAATAATCAGATACTGTATTAATATTCTTCTTTCTTCAGAAGGTATCTTACCTACTTAAATATGTGCAGCACAACTGTTACGAGTTAACATTCCAATCAACACTTTTTCTCAAACTGACAACGTTTGATTTATAACCTTTTAAAACACTGCTGAGAACTTAACAGAAAAAACAATTACATTTATATATCATTCTCAAGTACTTGGAATTAAAAATGAAAATACACTTTGACTGGCTTATCAACCCCTCTTTTCCTGACTAGATGATCGCTTGCAGTCACCAACACAACTCACAAGAACATTCACAGAGGCGAATTTTAAGCGATGTAGTATATTTTATACAGGACGGAACACTGCTTGACACATTTAATACAGTTTTTATCAGTATTTGTATTCAGCAGCACCTGAAGGTTCATTGTGCTGGAAGAAGCACAATGCAAAAATACCATCTCTAGCCTAAAGAGCTTACCATCTAAATAGCAAAAATATGCTTCAGGAAGCACAGAACATACGCGACATGGGGAGAAAAGGATTACATCCATGGGAACGCAACTTTTTAGTAATTAACAACTGCTTTGACAAAATTTGCTGTTACGAGGCTACCTGCATCAGTGTCCTCCTCAGGGTCTCACTGAATTATTCACCCATGCCCAAGCCTTGGGCCTCAGGCCTTTTATCACGCTTGGGGTTGTACATATAATTCACTTACTCTCAGAAGAGGACCTGTCCAACAATCATCTGGATACCATCTGTAACTAAGTCAGCCAAACTAGGATTTTATTTCAGGAGACAGTAACAATGTAGCTTGCACTGGTAATCAAAACCTTAAAATAATAAAAAATAGTAGTAATCCTCCCCAAATTATAATTGTCTCTGTCATAAATTGTGATGCCTCCTCTCAGAAAAATAGGAGACAGCACACTGAAACAGACTTACTTTAAAAGGTTTATGTGCGTTATTTCTGCACAAGATTTCCCATCCCTATCCCTAAGCTAGGAAAAAATGCCTTGCTGGGTAAACAAGCTTCAAGTGGAACTCTCATATTCCAGCTAGCTCATTGGAAATCAGGTATTAGTGATCATTTTATCCAAAATATATATTACCTTTCCTCTTAATTTTTATAAAGCCTTCACCATTTTATTTGACCTCATTGTATGTTGCTGCCTGATTCAACACAGTCAATGAGGGTAAGAAGTCGAATATGTAAAATATAACAGACGTGCTGGAGTTTGCTTTTGGAAATCTAGACAAAGAATCTTTAACATTCCTACCTTCTTCTTCATTTTTCTCCACAAGTTTGCCTACCTGTCCCACTACACAGAAGCGCACGACAAACTCACAGTACAGTAGATCCTAGCAGCTGCCATGTCAGCTGCAATTTTTTCCAAATATTCAGTGTTGAGCTTATCCCTCAGCTCTTCCAATGCTATACCTAATCTAGTATCTTGACACCACCTGGATCAACTCCGCCTCTGTGCACTCAGCCACATGTAACCCAGAGTGATAATTTATATCCTAGAACTTTGGATGAAATGTGATTGAAACCACATGAATCACAAAGGATCAGCTCTGCCTCAAAGGAATTTTCAGTGAAATTCCCAGACTATGTGACTTTTTGACCTCAGAGGAGTGGGCTATTTAAAAAGGAGAATGGTAGAAGAAAAGAGCACAAAACCCTGCTGAGATACTCTCCTACAGCAGTTTAACCTTTGACCCATCCAATCTGTGAGGAGGAGGATGCCCCATAATAAGCACATGAGTATCTTATGTAAAGACTGCATTAATACAGAATATCTAGTACACTAGACTTGTTCTGATGTACTCGAAAAATTTTAGAGAGTTTCTTCAGTTGCTTAGTCTGACTAGGTTCTTCCTTTTGCCCTGAAACCTCAAAACATGTTTGAAGGCATCTAAAGAGTGCTTGCATCTAACAGTGCCAACTCATCTCAAAAGGAAAATCATCATTGTTTCAATACCATTATCTTTTGTGACTGTTGTGGGGAATTAACTTAAATCTTAACAGCTAGCAAACTAAAGAAATTATTGAAACAGCCTGAAATAGAAACACTGATGCTGTTGTAAAGTTGTCAGGAGGAAAGGTCGTATTGCTAACCCACCACTCTCAAACATCACGCACAACAAGGAACATAACGGAAGAGAAGACTACGAAATACCTAGAAGCTAATACTGGAACACTCAAGAACCCACTAGTGAATTTTCTACCTGTTGTCAATTTGGGTTGTCAGATAGGTCCTCAAATGCTAAGCCATGGAACAATTCTACTTGCTTTGATGAAGCACTGACTTTGTCATCAGAAACAAGTTAGAGGAAGAGACAGTATGCTTTAGTCTGAATGCAGGGAAAAATCTCGATAACCGGGTTCAGTTCAAAATTAAAACCCTCAACACAGTTACACAAATCCACAAACTACACACACATACGTGCAAAAAGCACCTATAGATTCTGGAGGAAGAGGAAAAATAGGAGAAATTAAGGATGAAAGAAAGATAATATCAAAAATTTAAAATTCAGATACATATTTTTAACAAGGACTGTGCTCTTTTATTCTAATCTTTTTGCTTTTTATCATTTAATATTAGTTATTTGTTGGTGTTGACACTGGTACATATAGTGAAAATAATTGCTCACTTTCTACATTGTAATAGCCAAATGTTTTTAAACAACTTTCTCCCTTTACAAATTCTAAGTATATATTTTTATTTATAGGAAAATTAACCTATATTACCGGGAAAAAAAAGGAAGATCTCTCCCAGGGGACATACATAACATACTGCTTTTTCTTGTCACCTTTTCTGGAATACATATCCATGAAAAAAAAAAAAGACAACTTATTTTAAATAATATTAATTTGACTTTGATTTTATAGTTCTTATTTTCAAGGGAAGACCAAGTCTCTTGTTTGTCAACCATTGAAAAAAATTGTTATCTGCTCCTACGTCACAATTTTGAAAAATTTGGCACTTTTCCTTCCTATCTAGGAGGATAACCCTACTGTTCTACATGTATTTAAGCAAGTTAAGTAGTTACATAACTACATTCGTACTTTCAATGTTTAAAATGATTAACGATGCATTTTTCATTTATTAGATGATAACTTTACTCATTGTTTGCATCAAGCTTCATTTTAAGGAATGTTAAAAATCTATATGTGGGTAAGTTTTATTATTTGAATAATGAAAGTATTTGGGCACATAGAAAACAAAGTAAAATCCTGCAAAGACACAGATAGGTAAGAGAAAAAAACCCATTTATGAAACCTGCTTTCTAACTTAAATTTTAATCATTTTATTCACAATGCTAGTACTAGCTGTACTACTCAAATGAACCTTTTAAGTTTGTAGAACTATATTTGTATGTTATAGAAGGAAAAAATGATGTCTGTTGTTATAATTCTCAAGCAGTTACTCAAAGTTGAAAAACTCAGCTACTCAACTGAAATACATATATATACACACACACACAGTGAAATGAAGAAAAAGGGTACAAAATCTGGCTTTGCACCTTAACAAATACTAGTTGCAGGTTACAGACTTCAACTAGCTGAGCTGGAAACACTCAAGGCCAGGTTGGGCAGGGCTCTGAGCAACCTGATCAAGTTGAAGATGTCCCTGCTCACTGCAGATGGGTTGGACTAGATGGCCTTTAAAGGTCCCTTCCAACCCAAACTATTCTATGATTCTATGGTCTTGAATACCTAGTAGCAACTGTAATATTTGGATTTTATAATGAACATTTTTTAACATAGCCTATATTTAAGTCTTTAAAATTCACTATTAGAGTTTATCTGTATAAAGTAAATTGAATTTAAATATAATCTAAACAGAGATTACGCATGCTTTTACAGATCTGAACTTTGTTTCATGTCACTGCTGAGAAAAACTGGTATAGGAACATTTGGACACATTTGGACACATTTGGGCATACCTGCTGTAGCCTGCTTTAGAGTTTTGCCTACTAATAGTGAAGGTTTCATAGCATTATTTACTGAAGTGGCTAACTTGCAGGTAGATGGGATCTTCCTATAATTCATCAATACACAGTCATCTTTCTTTCCAAATGGTTCAACTATTCTTCAGGAAACATTCACAGATGCTGTCATCACTGCCTCTGTATTAAACCTCTTCCCAGATGAACTGTTCTTGTACATCTAGTATTTGAAAACATAACACCTCATTCATTTGCCCAGGTGGCCAGGAAGGCCAATGGCATCCTGGCCTGTATCAGAAATAGTGTGGGCCAGCAGGAGTAGGGAAGTGATCGTGCCCCTGAACTCGGTGCTGGTGAGGCCGCACCTTGAATACTGTGTTCAGTTTTGGGCCCCTCACTACAAGAAAGATGTTGCATTGCTGGAACACGTCCAGAGGAGAGCAACCAAGCTGGTGAGGGGTCTGGAGCACAAGTCATACGAGGAGCGGCTGAGGGAACTGGGGTTATTTAGTCTGGAAGAAGAGGAGGCTGAGGGGAGACCTGATCGCCCTCTACAACTGCCTGACAGGAGGCTGTAGGGAGGTGGGGGTCGGCCTCTTCTCTTAGGGACATGGTTTAGTGGTGGGATGGCAGGGTTAGGTTAAAGGTTGGACTTGATGATCTCAAAGGTCTTTTCCAACCAAAGTGATTCTATGATTCTATGTAGAGTTATTGCTATTTAAGGTGGGCACAGCTACATTTAAGTAATAGCTTATATGTATGTAAATACCAATGGATGTTCCTTCTAGAGTTCCTGATATGGATATTTCTCTTGCTAAATTTGTCGTTTTTAAAGTTAACTTTATTGTGCATGCTCTGATGCCTCAGCATAACGTAATTACAGTGTATTTTTAATGCCTTTTTTCCAAGTCATGTCTTCTCAATGAGCTCATAGAATTTCTGAGCTGATGCTCTGTGCTGAATTACACAAGCCTATCTAGGGATTCAACAGGAACAAGCCACAAGTTGA